CCCCAGGGTCAGCTCCGGGACCCCCCAGGGTCAGCTCCGGGGACCCCCCCAGGGTCAGCTCTGGGACCCCCCCAGGGTCAGCTCTGGGGGACCCCCCACGGTCAGCTCCGGGGGACCACTAGACAGAGCTGCCAGGAAGAGTGTCAGCTGGAAGCAGTGAGATGGAAGCTTGTGCCTTAGTAAACCAGAAATACCAGCATGTCCAATTTGACCTCCCGAGGGCAGAGGTTTGTCCTCCATCCCGGCTCCTGGGTGAGACTTGTATGCGTACGGAAGGGAGGATATGCATGTGTACATGTGTGTGTGTGCCAGTGCCTGTGCACACACACACACAGATGTATGTGCCACCAAAGAGTGGCATCAGGTGTCTTCCTCAATCACTCTCCCTTAGATTTTGAACCTGCAGTTCCTGGCTAGCCTGAGAGCCCCAGAGACGCTCCCTCCTGGCTCTGCCTCCCCACTGCTGGGATCACAGGTGCACATGCTTTTTTCATGGAGGCTGAGGATCTGAACTCATGCTTGCGCAACGAGCACTGCACACTGAGCCGTCCTCTCCTCAGCCCACTTCCCCACTTCCGGCTCTTTGTCTCACTTCCTTCTTGGGCATCTTTCGAGTCCCCCAGGCTCCCACAGCAGACACGCGCGTGGGCACACTCACAAGCTCGCAGGCTATGATCAAGTGGCTGGCCCTCCTTGCTGCCCCGCACCCGGTCCAAACCAGAGCTCTTCTTGATCTACTCAGAGTTCAGGAGTGGATAGCATGTCTCAGTTTGACTCCCACAGCCAGATCCAGCCCCCGACCCCACCCCCTCTGCTAACATTCTACTATCCTCCCAAATTGAGTCCTAATTTCAGCATGGCCAGAAAGCCTCCGGAGCGGCTCATGCCCCCATGGATCCAGGATTGCTCATGCCTCCATGGCTCCAGGATTGCTCATGCCCCCACGGCTCCAGGATTTCTCATGCCTCCAAAGCTCCAGGATTGCTCATGCCCCCACGGCTCCAGGATTGCTCATGCCCCCACGGCTCCAGGATTGCTCATGCCTCCAAGGCTCCAGGATTGCTCATGCCTCCAAGGCTCCAGGATTGCTCATGCCTCCACGGCTCCAGGATTGCTCATGCCCCCACGGCTCCAGGATTGCTCATGCCCCCACGGCTCCAGGATTGCTCATGCCCCCACGGCTCCAGGATTGCTCATGCCCCCATGGCTCCAGGGCCCAGACCCCACTGTTGCAGACCCAGCTTGCCACCCATCTGGCATGAGGGAAGAGTAAAGACTTGTTCCCCAGATCACCTGTCAGGACTTGGTCAATCAAGTACCCTGGTAAATCTGTTTGGGGTAGCTGTAATGGCTTCTTTGAGTGTCATACCCATGGCTACCAGCAGAGTAGAGGTCATCGAGGGCTGTTCTCTGAATGGGGTAGCCCTGGAGACTTGAGACACCATCCAGAGTGCAAGACTCTAGCACATTCCAGGTTGCCTCCTAGCTGTGGGCACGAGGTCAGTCATGACCCCTGCTCTGGGTCTGGGCCTTCCTAGGGCCACTTGTGGTACGGGAGTTAGTAGCATTGGAGCTTCCTTGATGACCACATGTGTCCAGTGCCCTACACACTCCACAGAGCTTGGGCTGGGAGACAGAAGGCTGTGTCTGGGCAGCAAGTCAGATTCCCTGTTTCCTTGGCAATGGAGGACCCTGGGAAAGGGATGCAGTATTCATCTTTCCCTATAGGGCAGCAACTACACCCTGAAGACAGATCCTATTCCTCTGTGTGGGGACACAGGCACCACTGCCACCTCAAGGCCTACTCACCCTGGGCACCCTCCTTCCCTTGCAGAGTGTCCTAGGATCGGATGCATATTGCCTTGACAATACTCACTTCTGGCTTCCTGTCCCAGCGGCCAGTGGGGTCTGGGTCACTTCAGACAGCCTTCCCGGGGCTACTGTGGCCTCAGCCTCCTGCTAGACATCCCCATGTCACCACAGACTGTTTTGGAGCCCAGCTGTGGCTAGACCCTGCAACCTCAATGTCAAAGAGTCCTCGTTCCGGGATTTGGGGCCTGGGGAAGGCCACTTGCAGCCACCACCAGCTTCTGTGTGCTTGTCTTCATCTCATTTCTGTTACCGTGATAAAATACCCTAGCAAAAGGCACCTTAGTGGAGAAGAGATGTGTTCACTTTACAATTCCAGGTCACAGTCCATCATTGTGGGGGAGTCCAGGCAAGAACCTAAGGCAGCTAGTCACATCACAGCCACAGCCAGGAGCAGAGAGACAATAGATTCGTGCACACTTACTTGTGCCCAGCCTGCGTTCTACATCCTACAGTCCAGAATCCGACACTCAGGATGTACTGCCCACAGTGGGTTGAGACTTTCCATATCTACCAACTGTCAAGACATTCTCCCACAGGTGTGCCTGCAGACCAACCTGATCTAGCTGGCCCCTCGTTGAGATTCTTTTCCTGGATGTTGTATCAAATTGACAACCTTGAAACCCCAACCTGCCACCCATTGCACACCGACCTCATCCTGCAGTGCACCCAGCCTCCAAGACATGTGACCTCAGCCTCTGGCCTATCCCTGAGAGCCATACTGCTGTTCTGCCTGAGTCTCCTCTTCCCAGAAGTGCCTGTGTGTGGCGGGAACACGAATGGCCATCCTGATACAGTCACTGTCAGAGCTAGAGGGACACACATGGCCTGAAGTATACCAGCCAGCCCTGCTCCTCCTCCCCTGGGGACACATAGCAGCAACCCCCTCACAGAAGGCTACACCACAATTAATCCCCATAAGAGTGCAGCTCCCTAGGCGATCCCCTCCACAGCTGGCTTGGAAGTGGCAGCAGCTGAAAGTGGCTGTCTTATGCCAGTGAGCTTGTCATCCACTGAGGAAATGCCTTGGCACCTGTGGAGTGCCATTACCCGGCCAGGTGTGCATGTTCCAAGGTGCCCGAATGCTACTGGGTGAACCCCGGGGCCCTGGGAGACCAACCTGAGACCCTAGGTGTGTTCTCTGGGAGGTGTGGAATAAGTTTGTGAAGGAGCTTCAGTAACGGAGTGGCTCAGTGGTCAGGTGACAGACATGAGAAGGTATTTGCCTGAGACAGAGGATGTAGATGGCATCTGGGGCCATGGGAAAATTCCAAGGGCTGCACATGGCTGGACAGGCTCATTGGGTTTGCATGGCCAAGGCCCTGGCTTCACAGATGCTAAAGAGTGACACAATAGAATGCTTCCTTCCAGATCTGTGCCTCCAAGAAGGGACCCAAATGTTGAGAGAGCCATAGCCTTCAAGGCATACAAATGTTGACTGAAGTCATGCCAAGCAATGCAAACCAAGCCATGTGCCCATGTGACTGCTGAGGGTATTCATGACAGGGGACTCCAAATGAGAAATGTCACCACACAAGGAGAGCTAGGACAACATTCCATGTTTTAGTTGCAGCTCAGCACTCTCCAGCTTGAAGACTGTCCCCGGGCCATTGCAGTAACTCAGTTGGTCAAGTGCTTGCTCTGCAAGCATGAAGACCAATCCCCAGAACCCACATAAAAGAGTTGGTCATGGTGGCATGGTGTGTGCTTACCATCCCAAACCTGGGGAGGCAGAAGATGGGTCACAGGCTCCGCAGCCAGCCAGCCTAGGCCAGGGAGAGATCTATTTAAAATACAAAGTTTAAAAAGTTTAAAGTAAAATGGATAGCATCTCAGAAACAACAGCCTGTGAGACCTTTGGCCTCCACATACATGTGTGTGTATGCATGCATGAGCGTGCAAACACACACACACACACACACACACACACAGAAGAACTCATCTTGAATCTTGAACTTCTCCTTCACCGCTGGTTCTGCATCTGAGTGATCTGACTGAATCCCTAACACCTGCCCTTGTGGATCCAGCCTTTTGCTCAGTCTGTTAGCAGTGAGCTCTTAGGATCTCATTCCTGGAGCTGCTATTGTCATGTTTGGTCTGTGTACTGTCCATGTTCCTAGCATACATGCATTGCCCATGCATTGCCATGCGCAGGCACATAGGAGCAGGGCTGTAACCCAAACATGTGGTCAGCTGGTCTTAGGCCAGCAGACCCAAAGGGAGTGTTCAGAGTTCCACTACCGGGGTTGTAGTGATGGCCACGCGAGTGTGCAGCTTCCTTTCTGTGGGTGTGCACAGGCATATGGAGGTCAGAGCACAGCCTCCAAGTGACATACATGCCTCAGGTGCCTTCCACCTTCTGTTTGAGACAGGGTCTCTGTTGTCCTTGAACTTTGCCAAGTACCAAAACTGGATAGCCAGTGTGATGGGAGATGTCATTCTGTAAATGTGTTTCTCTTATAGGTTAATGAATAAAGCCCTGTTGGCCAATAGGAAAGCAAGATAGGCGGGACGAGGAGACAAGGAGGTTTCAGGGAGAGGTAGAAAGAGATTCAACATGTAGGACTTGAGAGAACAGAGGTCGGGGCTCTCTCTCCAGTAAGATAAGACCACGTGGATTAATAGAAATGGTTAATATTTAAGACAGAGCTAGCCAATAAGAAATGCTAGTAACAGGCCAACAGCTTTATATCTAATGTAGCATCTCTGTGTGTTCTTTGGAGCTGGCGCGGCTGTGGGACCAGGCTGTCTGAAAACTACCCATAACACCAGTGTGCTCCAGGGGTCTGCCTATGTCTTCCTCCACCACTCCAAATTCTTACCATTATCTCTGGGGATTGAACTTGAATTCTTAGGCTTGCAAGGCCAGCAGTTTACCCCATAAGCCATCTCTCTCTCTCCCTCAAAGCCCCATGGAGCTTCCAGTCTGGGTGCCCTGGCTGAGTCTTCAAGGTCTGACTCTACGCTAAAGTTGACTAAGGGAGGGTGACAGGAAATGCAAAGAGGGGCTTCTGTGGGAGCCTCTCTGTGAGGCCCATACATGTCAATGGCACCTCGTGTGGTTTGGGGTTCTTATGGGGGTATTTGTGCCCCACGGGTCTTTCTGAGAATGTCACCTTTTGTCTCCGCAGGCCTCCCACCCTGAGTGGCAGCCCTGTCATCTCAGACATCTCCTTGATCCGACTTTCTCCACACCCCGCCGGCCCTGGGGAATCTCCCTTCAGTGCGCACCACCCCTACATGAACCCTCATATGGAGCACTACCTCCGGTCTGTACACAACAGCCCCACACTCTCCATGATCTCTGCAGCCAGGGGCCTCAGCCCCGCTGATGGTAAGTCGTGTTGGAGCAGGGACAGCAGGGACATTGGGTGGCGTGCTAGGGATGACCCAGCGGCTCTGTCCACACAGCCAGCCTGTTTTCCGTAGCCTTCCAATGATGCGTAAAATTACAGTTTCATCAATAAGTCAAAACCCTCGTGGTCCAGTCATTTCCCCCAAAGCAGCACCTCTCTTTGCACACCACACTGGGGACCCAAGCTTTTGACACATAAGCCACTGAGGGCTATTTCATATCCAGACCACAGCAGCTCTCACAGGACCAGACTGCTGCTTGCTATACCCCCAAGGCTGCCAAAGCCAGTGTTAAGTAAGGGCTGTTGTGTAGGACTACCTCCAGGAACTCAACATCAAAAGGAAGGCAGAGAGAGCTGGCTGCTGCCTGGATCTCTGTTTTCTGTCTCTGAGCTGATCAATACAGACCATCTCCCAACCCCCTGGGGTACCCTGGAGCTGGAGTTATAGGCAGCTGAGGCCCCAGTCTCCAGGGATAGACCAGTGACTGTGTCTGCTCAGATGCTTACAACGGAGCAGCCCACAGGATCAGGTTGATTTGAAGCAGAAGTGAGACGCCACGTGATAGTTACTCTCCCAGTTGTAAATTTTATCCTAGGGGTTGAAGAGACAGCTCAGCCGGTAAGTCTGAGTTCAATCATCCAGACCCAAGTCTTTTTTTTTTTTTTTTTATAAAGAAAAGAAACAGAAAGTGGGTCCGACTGGCAAACCATGGGACTCGAAGCGCCGGGGAGGCAGAGGCTGAAGTGTGCTTGCTAGCCAGTCTAGTGGAATCAGTGAGGTTCAGGTTCAGTGAGAGACCCTGCCTCAAAAAGACAGTGGAGAGCAGATGAAGAAGACATCCAGTGTCCATCTCTGGCCTCCATGTGAGCTCAAGCAGTGATGAATGGGCTGGGGGGGGGTCTGCACTGAGACCCCAAGCCAGAGGTGAATTTCTTTTTCTTTCCTCAAATAGTAGATCCTTTTTTCAAAAATATTTTATTCGTATATTTTCATTTTATGCATGCATATGTATATGCATGTTTGCATAGGTTCCTCCAGAGGCCGAAGAGAGTATTTTTTGGGTTCCCTGGAGCTGGAGTTACAGGGAGTTGTGAACCACCCAGCATGGGTGCTGGGAACTGAACTCAGGTTCTCTGCAACAGCAGCAAACGCTCTTAACTGCTGAGCTATCCCTTGAGCGGCAAATTTTGACGGTTTCTTCCTCACCTTCTGTGACAGTGGCCCACGAACATCTGAAAGAGAGGGGACTATTTGGTCTTGCGGCCCCCGGCACCAACCCTTCAGACTATTACCACCAGATGACGCTCATGGCAAGCCACCCTACACCTTATGGGGACCTTCTAATGCAGAGTGGGGGTGCTGCTGGCGCACCCCATCTCCATGACTACCTCAATCCTGCGGATGGTGAGTGCTGGAGGGTGGAGCATGGAGGGGAAATGGAGCTGGGTGAGGGTGGCTGACTGCCATAGAAAGCAGTCCTTCAGTCCCCTTGGAGGCAAGAGACACAGTGGAAGTCTACACTGCACCCCTACACGGTTTACACTGCCAGCCGTGGGAACTGAGAGCTCCGTGGTCATCACACAGAATGGGATGTACTCACTTAACTTTGGGACGACTCTGTAGTGGAAAGCTGCAACACCGGGAATTGGTAAACTAAGATGGAGTAGGGTAAACAAAACAGAGAGGGAGGCGCAAACTGGGGTAGTGGGATGGAACTTTGAGAAATGGAGTCAGCGAGACAAAGGCGTGCAGGGGATGTTATTCAAGCAGGGAACTGATAGGCAAGCCCACCAGCTGGCTTGGGGAAGAGCTATCCCAGCGGGGTTGAAGAGCCTAAGGCAGCAGCATGGGCTCCCGAGATCCGTGTGGTTGATAGAAATCAAGGAAAAGGCAGGAATGGTGCTGAGGCCAGTGTTCTGTGTGGGCTTGTTAAAGGCTTTGCCCTTTGCCGGAGTGAGATGGGGCTGTGGGACCACGCTGATCTGAGAACTGAGTCAGGGCAGGCAGCGGTAGACCCGGTCGGTGAGTCTCGTTAAAGGAGACCACTGGGTGGAGATGTAAGACACATTCCCAGCTCGGATGTGGAAGTACAGAGGAAGAGAGGCCAACCACTTATGCTCCTCTTTGCTGTAACCAAATATCTGATCCCTCACCCCCCCCCCCAGTAAAAGTACCGGTAGAGGCAGCCTAGGGCGGAGGGTTTATTGTGGTTCACACTTGGTCATGGTGGGGATGGCCCGGTGGCAGGGATGTGAGACAGCCAGCACATCACATCCACAGTCAAGAAGCAAAGGCCATATTCTCCCCTGCATTCGGTCTGGGGCCCCAGCCCATAGGATGGGGTGGCTCACATTCAGGGTGGGTCTTCTCACCTCAGTCGGCATGATCTAGAAAGTCCCCCATGTCTCCTAGATGATTCAGTTTCCTTCCAAGTCAACAACTGCTACAACGCATCAGAAAGAGCCAAGGTCAGTGCCAGGTCTAGGGCCCAAAGATAGGACTGGGCCGTCAGTGACGAGAGGGGAATGTGCTGGCTGTTTGGCAGGGCAGAAGGTGGGGAGTCTTGGGTAGGTGAGGTCTTAGGTGCACATCGGACACCACGCCCTCCCTTCTCTCTAGAAGCCATCCTTGTAGCTGCTTTCACAGAGCGCCATGGCCCCCTGACTATGAGCCCCTGGGTCGGCATGTAGCCCTGCCAGTGGAAAAGAAATCGAAGCTCAGTGTCATTGTGTCCCTCCATCAGATTCCATTCCAATTAGCAACCCTAGAGCTGTCCAAGGGTGCTGGGTTGCGGGCTAAGTAGAGGAGTGGGAAACCATCAAGAACTAGGTTGGTGGCGCCTTCAGACAGCTCTTCCCTGGCCCCGCCAGGAGCAACTTCTCCATGCCACAGTGACATGTGGTGGAGAGACACAGGCCTGCAGAGAGGCCATCTGGTCCTGCAGGGCAGCAGGTTGGAGACAGGCTGTGGCAGCTGTTTGGAGGCTGCAAGATTCAGGGTGGGCCCATGTCATCCAGGCCTGGGCTCACACCCTAGCCTCCATTCCTGGGCTCCCTGCCACATCCACAACTACAGCTCTGCTCAGTGGCCTTGCCCCAGTTGCGAGCTATCTCTTCACGGAGGTAGACCTTCTCCAGGAAGTCTGTCTAGATGCTTCCTGCCTCCTCTGGTTTGTCCTGCCTCTCTGAGACTTAAAGGCACCCCCTCACCACCGCCACACAGGCAAGGTCAAGTTTCTGTGACCATCCCTGCCATTCCCTGATGGGAGGCTGTTGAGTGCCGAAGCAATCCTACCTTTCTGTGCCTTCCCCAAGGAGATGCTGCATCCTGGACTCAGCACAGTGTAGGGGCCTGTGCTGTAGGGCTCCTTTCCCATCCTTCCCCACAGCAGGTAGTAGGGTCAGGATTGGGGAGGGTGCATCCTGGGCACGGTGTTTAACAGTGTTGTAAACCCAGCCACAGCAACACAAGGGCAGAAGGGAGGTACCGAGGTCAAGTGAAGAGTTGCCCACACGCCAGCTTCTGCCACTCTGGGCAGCCTCCCTCCAAGGCCTAGAGCAGGAACACGGACATCACTGGCAAATGGACAGATGCATCGATGCCATGGCTAGGGGACCAAGTTGAGCAGGTGTGCCCACACAGCAGGAGGAGCAGAACTGGGCAGACAGGAGTCACTGTGACAGTGATCCTGAGCACCTGCCTGAGTGCGCACCTCCATACAATGCCAAGCATGCAACAGAGAGAAAAATGGCAGTGAGCGTTTCTCCCGTGGCTGGATTTAGGACCTCGCTTAGGATGAGCAAGCAAGTCCCCAAGCCTCTAGGGAGAGGGGCCACGCTGCCCCCTCGCCAGCTCCTGAACTCTCTCCTTTAGAAGGCAGCTGGGCAGCAGGGTTTGGATACAGCAGAGCAGCCAGGCAGGAAGGAAGCAGCAGGGAGCCATTACTGATACCTTGGGACCTAGTGTGGAGTTGGCAGGGAGGACCCAGGTCATGCCTTGCTGTCTCACCCCCCCCCCCGCCTTCTTTGGGATAGGCAGACCTAGAGAGAGCAGCCCGCGGGACACAGTGTTTACATGCTTAGTGAACTGAAGGAGAATGCAGTAAGTGTGGATGGAAGGTAAATGTGGTCTACTGGCTCAGTTAATGCTAGGCGTGACCTTTGACTACCAGTATCCCTTTTACCTCTTTCAAATCCACCTTCATCTCCCTGGTCCATACCTCACCCTTCCCCCACCTAGCGCTTCTACCCGGATCATAAGCCACTCCGGGCATAATGTCCTCATCATCTCTCCATCCATCTTGTCCCCAAGTGTGTTAGGTGTGGCTTGTTTCCTCACCCCATAGCGCTGCACTTACTAGAGGTATCAGGGTTAGAGCTTCAGCCCTGGCAGCAATAACAAGCCAGGCTCAGCATCCTCAATAGGTCAATTAAACAGGCGGTAACAGTGAAAAACAGAGAAAAGAGATCTGTTCACTGTAATCACATTGGGAAGAGGAACAAAGAGGTCCAGCGAACACACACACACACACACACACACACACACACACACACACACACACACCATCCATGGTCAGGGTTTAAATATGAAGTTTTGGTTTAAATGGAGGGCAAGAGGTATACAAGATGTGGTCTAGCCATGAAATCTCCCCTGTCAAGTGTGAACTCTTTCTGGGAGACAAGCCCACACCCTCAGCTTCAGCCCTTCCCTTCTCCTGGTGTGAGCTTCCGGGGGAAATTCCAGTTGTCTGGAACCTATTGTCTTCCAGCTGTCGGACCCAGTGTCTCTTTAGGGCATCTTCTTCCTGCAGCCTCATTGCTGCCTCTCAGAGCAGGTCTCCTGATGCCTCCTCTCTGCCTGTTTGTGGTGTGTGAGGTCTGTGCAGCTCCAAAATCATCCCGGGGACCTGAGACACCAGGGAACTCCAGGAACACAGCTCTAGCTGACCTGGATGTCTTTCACGTGAGATGGCCAGCCTTGCTGCTGGACCAGGTGGCTCCCAGCCTGTCAGACCGGCTGAGTCAGGAGTGGCTATCACAGGAGACCTGGAAGAGAACGATACAAGCTTTTTAGTGAAGGAGCCACTGGCGTGGACAGGGAACTTGCTGCCGGCTGTGGGCGGCATTGTAGGGGCTGGGGACAGCTTCCATTCTCCGGAACATCCAGCATTGGCCACATCTGGGACCTGGGCACGCCTAAGAAACAGGAAAGTCGGGGCTGGAGGAGTTGGCAGACTGGCAGAGCCAGACTGGTTGCCCACCTCCAAGGGCAAACACCACTCGCTGGAAAGCTCACCACAGCTGCCTCTCCCCACTTCTGTGTTAATTAAGGTCAGCAGATTCCCAGACACCTGAGCAGGGTTGGGAAGGCAGTGGTAACTGGGGAGGGCTGGGGACAGAGTTTATAAACTCTGTCCGTCCCAACCCAAGAAAACCATATGTAAGTCAGTAATGGTGTTTTTCTCCTGTTCATCTTGCTCAGCGGGGGTCTCCAAGATTTACTCTTTAGTTCTTACTCAGGTTGGAGCCTTGAGCCTTGCACATGCAAAGTGCCTTCTCCACCACTGAGCTGGGCTCAGACTTTTCTTTCTTTTTTCTTAAACTTTGTGTTTTTACTTATTTGTTGTATATGCGTGAGCATGCATGCCTTGGTGCTCAAAGAGAAATTGGTCTTCTCTTCCCATCCTGTGGGGCTGGGGGCGGGGGTGAACTCAGGTCGCCAGACTTGGCAGCAAGCAGCCCCAACGGATGCACCGTCTCAGATCTACCCTGGCCCTTTCCAAACCAGTGGGAGGCACAGCTTCCATATTTGCTTCAGACTTTTATAGTATTTGGGGCTCTTCCACTCAGCTTGGGTACCCGTGCATATAATCCACTGTGTTTCTGAGAGATGCTAAGTAAGCCCAGACCCACCCAGCCTGCCCCCATGGCATCCCCCCCCCCATCCTCCTCCTCCCCTCAAGTGGACCCTGTGAGCCAGGGCAGACCCTGTCAACTCCTGTGTTTTCTGCACCCCACCCCCACAGGATGCTTCAGTCATTTAAACAAACAAACAAACAAACAAAAAAACCCTTAGGTTTATTTATTTATTTAGGTTTTTCGAGACAGGGTTTCTCTCTATTGCTTTGGAGCCTGTCCTGGAACGAGATCCGCCTGCCTCTGCCTGCCTCCCGAGTGCTGGGACTAAAGGCGTGCGCCACCAACGCCCGGCTTGAAAACTTAGATCTTTTGACCAGGTTCTTTTTTGCGCGACATTCTTACAGAAGAAATGGTACACACACTCATTCAGCGCTGTTTACTCAGCTTGCGTCCTAAGTAAGTTTCTCTGTTGCTATGATAAAGCACTGGTCAAAACCAACATGTTGGAGAAAGGGTTTATTCCATCTTGCAACATCCAGGAGACAACACTCTGTGGCTGAAGGAAGCCAGGACAGGAGCTCAAGGCAGAAATCTGGAGGCAAGAGCTGAAGCAGGGGCCATGGGGAACAGTACTCACAGTTGCTCCCCCTGGCTCACTTAGTTTGCTTCTTTATACAACCCAACCTCCTGCCGAGCGGTGGCACCACCCACAGTGGACCTTCTTCCCACATCAGTCCAATCCAGAAAATTCCACCACAGGCTCGCCTGCAACCAGACTTTGAAGACAGTCTCTCGGTTGTCTCATTCTTCCCAGATGAGTCCAGTTTGTGTCAAGTTCACAAAACTAACTAACTAACCAACCAACCATCATAGCATGTAGCACATACCAGGTTCTAGACACCGAGCATGATGCTGAACACCGCGTCAAGTTCTGCCCCCAAAGAGCTCTCTGTCTGTCTGGCCAGGCGCCAGGCTGCCTTTTGTAGTGAGCGCGCCAGTGCGGGTCCTGACCTGACCTGACCCATCCTTTCAATGCCTTCATGTCTCGAGACAGGGGCACGTGGCAGAGAAGAGAACATTCCAGAGGCTTTGTGTATCCAGACTGTGAGGCAATCTGGGCTGGTGGGCACGCAGCCCTCAGATCCTCCTCCAGCTCTCCCACACCTACAGCCTGGTTTTACCTTAGTTAGGTGCCCAGTGCACAACAATATGTTTAATATGCATAACTCACTTAACTTTGGGGTTAAGTAAACGGTTCTTGTATTTTTGGTTGTGAGCCTAGCCTTTAACGGCTGAGCCATCTCTCCAGCCCAAGTAAAGGGTTCTTAAAGTGGAACTTTTTTTAGACATGAACTTTTGTAATCAGGGCTGGCCTTGAACTCACCATGGAGCTGAGGATGACCTTGAATTTCTGATCCTCCTGCCTCTATTTCCCAAGTGCTAACATTACAGACCTGTGGGATCATGCCAATTTATGCGGTGCTGGACACGGAACCCAGAACTTTGCACATGATAGACAAGTGAGCCTCATCTCCACCCTAGAACTTTCCATTTTCCCCTGATGGGGTGAACTTGATCATAACCTGAAGAGGATGCCTCTGTCTGAGAATTTCTTATGGGTTTGTGTGTACCACACACGTCGGGCACATTAGGTGAGTCAGATAGACAGCAAGGCCTCTGACAGGTCCAGACAACAATGCCACCTTCCCCCTGGGCCACAATGAGGTTGGGACCAGGACATGAGGCTGTCATACAGGTGCCTCTCTCTGCATGTCCTTTCTTCTTCTCAGCGGAAAGGACCAGGAGCTGAGCCCCTGAGAAGGGAACAGAACCAGTCTCTAATCCACAGCCATCCATTCCTCTGCTGGTGGCTCTGCAGAGAGCGTGGAGCTCACATGTCACTGGTCCCTAGCATGGAGCTTTCTCACACTAGGCAGCTACCGCACCGCACCGCACCGTAGCGCAGGGCTGCCGCATTCAGAACCCACCTCCCCCATCATTCCATGAAGACGGAAATGTTCTGACTGAAGTATTGTCTGCCCATGGCCCTATAACTCCTCAGCTGTGTGTTTTATCGTCTTATTGACACTAATTTGACTCAGATGTCACCTCCATTCTGACGCTCATTCTTTATGCAGCCTGCGGATGGGGAGGCTCAGAAACCGATGGCATTGATCTCACAGGAGAGAGGCAGATGCTGCTGGGTCCTCCAGGGACTGATTCCCGCAGGGAGTCCAGACTCAGCCTGAGACAGAGGGGAGTCTGAGGCTGAGGAGGGCACAATGCATGTCCCCCAGGCTGCTGAGCACCGGCCGGGAGGGAGCTGGGTCAGAGAGGCTATTTGATGAACCTAAGCTGACCAGGATACACAGGAACTGCCCTTGTGACATAACTTAGGTGGGGACCCTGGCCTCTACCCAGGTCCCCAGCCCTGTGGCCTGACCATGGAGGTTTCTCCTTGGGACAGATGGGGGCTTGGGTCAGTGAAGTGTAGCTAGAGTACTTGGCCCCAATTCCTCAGAACACAACCTAAGAGTGAGCCCAGAAAAGACCTGGATCAGCTGTAGTGGATTATACCGTAAAATCAGCACTTGGAAGGTCTAAGGGAAAGAATCAGTAGTTCAAAGCCACCCTGGGCCACATCACACCTTGCCAAAGGGTTTGGCTTTGAGTGCGTGAGGACATGAGTTCAAATTCCCATGTAGAAAGTGGAAGGGGTAACTGTAACCCCCGCACTGGGGGCAGGAGGGGTAACCCCAGCTGCAGGGGATCCCTGGAACCTTGGAGGCCAGCCAGCTTAGCTAAATCAGTGGTCCCAGGCCTGTCTCAAATAATACCAGTGTTGACATGGTCTCCCTGCACACACGTGCATGTACACATGCTCACATACGTGCCCACACACGAGAAGGAAGAAAGGAGGGGGGAGGGGACAAGAGGAGGGGGAGAGGGGAGGAGGGAGGGGCTAACGGCCGAGACAGGAACTGGCCACCTCAGGCATCTTCTGAGGGAGACCAGGCAAGTGGCCAGTCATTCGGTGGCCGGTGTTAGGACAGGCAGCAAGCACAGATGAATGGCTGCTGGGAACGCCCCAGTCCCCAGACATAAATCACAGGAAAAGCACGGGAAATGAGTGCCAGGCTTTTCTTCCTATTTAGTGATTTATCAAGGGAAGAGGCGCGTTAATAAACACATTTCCCTCGAGGGCCAGGAATAACAGAGATGAATACCACTGTCAGTTTTGGCCTGCTTCCTCTTGTTAGGGGCACCCGAGAGGGTGGGAGTCAGAGCGTTAGCGGCGAAATCTCCTTTTGAAAAATATATGACGATCGGCTGCCGTGATAGCTCAGTCAGGAAAGTGCTTGCCTTGCAAGCCTGGGGCCCTGAGTTCCCTTCCCTAGAACCCCCGTGAAAAGGGTGGAAAAGGGTGCGCTGGCACATCCTCCCAGAAGGTGGAGGCAGGTTGATCCCTGGGGTTTACCCGGGCCCCAGCCTAGCTTACTTGGTGAGTTCAAGGCCAGTAAAAGGCCCTGTCTGAAACAGATGGACAGTTCCCGAAGAAGGACACCTGAGAATATCTTCTGGATTCTACATGCTCATGGACACACACAGACCTGTCTTTAGTGGATACTGGGTCCTTTGCGTCCCCGTGTTGTCCATTTTCTGCTTAATTCTTTACAAAGAGTCCGAGGGAGGGCATCTTTTTGCCTATAGCTTTGAGGTAAGGATTGTCAAAGCATGGAAATGAGGTGGCCCGGATGGAAGGCTGGGGCAGGATGGAGAGGGTTGGCGGTCACCGCCGCAGCCTGGGTCACCTTTGCTAGACTCTGACCCTGTCCTTTATCATAAACTGTCGGTCCACTCTGCCCATCCACACAGGCATGCTCGCCCCTTGAAGGAGCCCTTGGAATTAGCCATGTCACCCAGACATGTGGACAGGGTCACTGATGTTAGGATAAAGCAAGCGCCAGGGGAAACTTGGCGGATTCCATGGTGGGTGAGGGTGACGGGGGGGGGGGATGACTGGGGGGGGGACGGACAAACATGCCAGGCAGACAGAGCTTAGTGAGAAGTTTCGTTAGAAAGGGAAAGCGGGGAGGGGGTAAAGAGACACAGAGACAGAGAGAGGACAGAAAAGAAAAGGAAGACAGGAAAAATCCTGTCTGCCCCAGGGGAACAGCAGGAAAGAGAGGGGCGGAGCGTAAGTGGGTGGGGGACTTTCTTCTAAAGGGGTCCTTTGCACCTGTGTGAAACTATACAACCATGGAATCCTAGGCTGACCAGAGTACTGCCTGAGTGCATTCTGCCAGGTGACAGGGGCAGGCCAGCATAATGCCAGAATCCTTACAACTGGTGCCATCCTTGGAGCGCTTCATGCTGTCACGACAGCCTGCACAACACACCATCTTGCCTTTAAGAGGCAGGATGGGGAAGGTTGCATGATGTCCCTGCACAGAATTTGGGCATTACCGGGGCTGCATGCAGGCAGTATCTCCAACCAAGAAATGCCAGGTGGAGCCCAGCAGGGCAGGACAGCCATTGCTCCTCACGGGTATCTAGAAAGGCGAGGACATACCCAAGCGTTCACTTCAGTTTGCTTTGGGCCAGGCCACCCATTGCCTAACTTCACATCTTATGGCAGCCCTGAAGGCTGCTACTACCAGAAGACTCCATTGTGGGACGGTGAGGAAACATTAGTGACTAGAGTCGTCCAGTAATGGCAGACCGTTTTTAGGCCACTGTTGTGGCCTCAGAGGAGAGATCCAGAATTCTTCCAGGGGTGTCAGAGAAGGAAGAAGAGCAGACTGGGGCCTGTAGTGCCAGGAGCCTGTGGTGTGCGTGTGCGTGTGTGTGTGTGTGTGTGTGCGTGTGCGTGTGTGTGTGTGTGTTAGTGTACACATATTGAGGAGTGTCCAGACTTGAGCCTGAACTACCAGGAACCTGTGTGTGTGTGTGTGTGTGTGTGTGTGTGCGCATGCGCATGCACACACATGTGTATACTAGTATACACATTGAGAAGTGTCCAAACATGGGTAGTGTATGTGTGGATATGTGTGTACATGCTCAGGAGGTATAAACAACATACTCTCACAGCTCACAGACTGTGGAGCAGCCATCCAGCCTCTGTGTAGCAAGGTTCCTCCACATGGGAGGGAATTCCAGTGTTATACCATCTGCAACAAAGCCAGTGACCCTGTGACCTGTAACTCTGTTCACTGTCCTCCCCATGAGAATCTTTTCAGTGTTAAAAATGAGCCCACCACAACCGCGCCACAGCACGGAGAAATCACGTATATTCTTGATGTGGGTGGAAATCAGTAAGACTAACATGCCTTTTGTTGCCTGTCACAGCGTCGCGATTCTCCAGCCCACGCGTGACCCCCCGCCTGAGCCGCAAGCGGGCACTATCCATCTCCCCACTCTCGGATGCCAGCCTCGACCTGCAGCGCATGATCCGGACCTCTCCCAACTCGCTGGTAGCTTACATCAACAATTCCAGGAGCAGCTCAGCAGCCAGCGGCTCCTATGGACATCTGTCGGCCGGTGCCCTCAGGTGAGTCCCAACAGCCCTTGGAGATAAGAACTAGGAGATAAGATAAAGGCACAGTCTGGCCTTTCAGGTAGCGCTTTATACGGGAGAAAGACAGAACTTGATGCCAGTGCCTCCACACACTAGCAACTATGCTGATAATTCAATAGCAGTCATGAGGCTGGTAGGGATGTGGCTTTTGGTAGACTCCTTGACTGGCATGCACAAAGCCCTGGGATCCATTGTCAGCACTGTATAAAACCAGGCATGATGACATGGTAATCTCAGCACTTAGGACATAGCAGCAGGAGGATCAGAAGTTCGGAGCCACTGGCTACTTAGTGAGTTCGAGGACAGCCTGGGCTACGTGAGACTCTCTCTGTAAACAACAAAGCAGTTGTGATGCAGAGAGTTCACACCAACACTCACAGTAAACCTGTCATCGGGGGGTTCCATGATGGCATCAGAGGTAGCCAAGGTCAAATGTGGCCTTCCTGGGAGCTGGAGAGATGACCCAGTGGGCAGAAAGAGTAGCCACACAAGTGTGCTGTTGGAATCTTCAGAACGCATGTCAGAAGCCCGGCACATAGCACAAGTATCCATAGCCAGCCAGCACTCTTATGGGGAGATTGGGATGGAGACAGGAGAGGTCCTAGAAGCTCACAGACGGCCGGCCTGCCTGTAGCGTGCCATGGAAAAACAACAGAGACCCTGTGCAAACACGTTGGAAAGTGAAGATTGATACCCAGAGTTGTCTCTGACTTCCACATATATATCTGCATGTTCTTTCCCTGTATATACAAATGCGCAAAATATGTATACATCTGTACACACACACACACACACACACAGAGTTGTTCGTGGAGTGCCTTTTCTAGTATCTCACTAGTGTGGCAGAGGATGTAGTTGTCGACTAACACGAAAGGCCACAGCAGGCGTGACAGTGATGTGGCCCGTGCCCTAAGCACATCCCAAGGGCTGGTAACAGGTCTCACTGTGGGTCCCGTCAGAGCTGCTCTCTGCCTTCCACTCTGTTTAGCAGTTGGTTGGATCTGAGCCCTCGGGAAGATCTAGTGAGGACCAGAGTGGCTGAAATGCCTGTGCCTGCCCTGGCCCCCCACTTATGAGGGCTGGATGCAGGCCCTTACAGTACAGTCGTCTACAGTGGCTGCTGCCTAACAAGTTGCTCTCACGCTGAGCGTTTTAAATGGGAAGCCCACACCAAGGAGCTGGCATTTGAGGCTGATGGGGCTGGAGAGACGGCTCAGCTGTTAAGAGCATTAGCTGCTCTTCCAGAGGACCTGAATTTGGTTCCCAGAACCCGCATTGGGCAACTCCCAACCTCTGGTAACTTTAGCTCCAGGGCATTTGGCGCCCGATTCTGTCCTGTGTGAATACCAACACATACCCAGCCACCGACATAAATAACTTTTTTTTAATCTTGAGAAGAGTGTGTGTGTGTTCTGAGGTCCCCTTAAGACACCGAGGCTTTGTCTTTGCCCCTTTTGCAGGTTATGTGACAACCTGGACCTCTGTGTCCAGGAGCATGTCCCAAGTACTGTGGACACAGGGCCTCCTCATGGTACCAACTCACACCACAGAGATGCTGGGGGCATAGCCTCAGGGGCCACCAGCGTCCCCTCATCTCTTGCCAGGAAAAAGTGGTCCATGGGCAAGTGTCTGACAGCTTGTACGTGCAGCAGAAGCTAACGGGGAGGGGGCCGTTGCGAGCTGTTGTGCTCTAGGGACGCATCTCAGGTGTCGGAGCACAGAAACAGCCAGCTGTGGGACTGAGAGGGAGCCAGCCTGCCCAGGGTCAAGGTCGCATTCAGGGAGCTATGAGCGGGCAGTGAGGCCAGGCAAGGGCAAGGCGTGTCTTGATGTGCCATCTTGAGCTTCAGGTACCGTCCTCTCTGCCCAGGAACTGTTGGCTTGATGGTGAACCCACACATTCCCTGTCGTCTTCTGTTCTCCATTGCAGCCCAGCCTTCACCTTCCCCCACCCCATCAACCCTGTGGCCTACCAGCAGATCCTGAGCCAGCAGCGGGGCCTGGGCTCAGCCTTCGGACACACGCCACCCCTGATCCAGCCTTCACCCACCTTCCTGGCCCAGCAGCCCATGGCTCTCGCCTCCATCAGCACGTTGCCTACCCAGCTCAGCAGCAATAGTAGCAATTGTCTAAATGATGCCAACCAGGTAGGTGGGTGCAGAGAACCGGAAGTGGGCCTTCACTGATCACGCCCCCCCCCAGGGCCCTTCATGCTAGGAGCTAGTGGAGATCTCTGCACTTTAGCCTAGCTGGTCGGTGTCTTTTAGGACAGAGGTCATGTGATGGGAAAAGCCTTACAGGGGGCCAGAAGCCCTGGCCTGGGCCCAGGGTAAGCTCCCAGGCACTCAGTCTACTCTCTGTCCAATAAGCACGAAGGACTGGAGGAACCCTTCAATGTACAGGGTCCTGTGCCACACAGGGACACTACATGCCCCATGTGAAACAAAGTGTTGCCTCCACCCCCTCACCCCCATCCCCTCACCCCCACCCCCTCACCCCCCCAACTGGTCCTGGTTGGAGGACCAGTCCAAGAGACTCTGGTTTTGATGCTTCAAAATACAGAAGGGTGGGAAAGCTGGGGAGATAAGTCAGTGGGTGAAGAGTTTGCTTTGCAGCCATGAGGACCTGAGTTTGATTCCCAGTATCCACATTTAAAATGATGGGCAGTGATGGTACACGCCTTTAAACTCAGCACTCAGGAGGCCAGAGGCAGGAGGAGATCTCTGAGTGAGTCCCAGGACAGCCGGGGCTACACAGAGAAACCCTATCTTGAAAAATGAAAAGTAAATTTAAAATAAAAAGTCAGGTATGACGATGCATGCTTGTAGTGCTAGCTCTAGGGAGGTGGAGACAGGTGCATTTCTGGGGCTTACTGGACAGCCCGCCTAGCCTAACTGGAGAGTCCCAGATCCCAGTGAGAGACCTTCAAAAAGACAATGTGGGTGGTGGCTAAAGAACACACTGGAGAGTAACCTCTAATCTCCACATATATGCATACACATGAACACAAATATACATATGTGAACCCACACGTAACATGGATACTCCACACATATGAACATGTGCACATATGTATGCACACACACACACAAATACAGGGTTATCTTAGATGGTCTGTGTGAGCAAATTCCAGAGCCACAGCTCAGATAGAATGCAGGGGTCCCCTGCCTTGTGCCCACGTGACAGGCGGTCCTCTGCCTCCTCCCTCAGAACAAGCAGAGCAGCGAGTCAGCTGTGAGCAGCACCGTGAATCCCATCACCATTCATAAGCGCAGCAAGGTCAAGACTGAGGCGGAGGGGCTGCGGTCGGCCTCGCCACTAGGACTGTCACAGGTAACCGGCTGCCCGCTGCCCGCTGCCACTGCCCGTGGGCTGGAGCCAGGCCGGAGCTCCTGGTTTGGCTGATGTTGGGCACTGCTGGTGAATGGATGGGAAAGGGGAGGAGCAGAAGGGAGGAAAGGATGGATGGATGGATGGATGGATGGATGGATGGATGGATGGATGATGGACCAACGGACAGACGGATGGAATGGGCAAGTAAATGAATGGCCATCTGCAGAACTTAGAAAGTCAGAGTGTAGATGGGTTCCCGGAGCTGTGACCCACTTGACCCATTTTTACCAAATACATATGAGTAAGTGAATGAATGAATGAATGAATGAATGAATGAATGAATGTTCTGCCCTTCACCTAGCTGCATGTGCTAAATGTGTGGCCACATTAATGAATGAATACGCACGTGTCCTTCCCTTGCACCTTGCTTCAGGCTGCAGTTTTCACCGCATACTCAGCCTCAGCGAAGGGACTGAGCTGCTCAAGTCCCCTGTGTGGCTGTGGTCCTTCCTGCTCACACTACATCTTTTACTGCGGGTGCTCCGGGGGGAGGGGACTTGCAGAAGCTTGGATGCCAACCGCTGGGTCACTTCAGGTAGGAGGAAGGATAATTCCTGGTGGGAGAGTGAGGATGAGAACCTGGGGCCAGCGGGAGTGGGACCCAGCCCCCAGGGGGAGCCCTTGGGAAGCCTTGCTGCTTGCTGTGTTCCCTTGGAGGACACACAGGCCACTGCTGCTCTTGGAGCAGGAGTCTGCCATGAGAAAGGCTTAGCGCCTGCCTGCTGACCTTGGCTTTACGCCTCCCAGCCCAAAGCCGGCACTCTATCTGTTACTCCAGAGTTCCCAGTTGCCAAGGATGCTCAGGGCTTCCAGTCCCTGCTCCAGAATCTGCTGGCCCATCCTTTATCAGGACTGTAAACCATCAGGCATGCTCTAGGCACTTAATTTTCATGAAATATTGGGTCCTCTTATTGTCAGGCAAACAGAGGGGTTGGTGACAAATTCTTCTCCCCTCACTGACACCAGCGCCAGTCTGAACATGATGCATGGTTTCCACGAGACTGGCCGTCATGGGGAGGGGGTGTGTGCTGAAATTGATGAGGGCGGCACACATCCTGGGAAGATAAACATGCAGGGATGTTGAGGACAGGGAGGGGGCCAGGGATGGGTGTTTCCAAGCACCTTGGAGTCTTCCTCCCCATCTGTGGGCGGGGCCTCATTACTGCCCTACTCCCTAGGAAGGCCACCCGTAAGTCTTCTTCCTCCCCAGCACCCAGAGCCCTTAAAGAAACAAGAATAAAAACTGTTTTTCAAGGAGCCAGGAAGCTGATCCAGTCAGTGAGGTGCTTGGCACACTGTGAGGACCCAAGTTTGAATCCCTAGCATCCATGTAAACAAGCTAGACATGGTGACATGTACCTGTAACCTCAGTGCCAGGGAGGCAGAGACAGCTGGATCCCTGGAGCTTGCTGGTCCGGGCATCAGTAAGCTCTGGGTACAGTGAGACCCTGTCTCAGTAAAACAAAGTGGGCAATGACTGAGGGATGACAGCTGAGGCTGTCGTCTGTCCTTCAGGTCATGCACAACAGCATACCTGAACACACACACACACACACACACACACACACACACACACACACACACACAATGGTTATACCGTTACACAAGGCCAATTTCATATAAGTGCATAATGTATTTCAAGCACATTCTCCTCATACCCTGATTCCTTCTACCCTCTCTCTAATGCCCCTCCTCTGCCTTGACAGCTTCCTGTCTCGTGCCCTCTGTACAGATAGGATTTTACATGAGAGGAAGAATGCAGTATTTGATGAATTTCTTAACTGTGATTATTTTGTTGCATCCATCCAACTAAAATCGGGAGAAGACAAGGTTGTCTGCCCCCCCCCCCATCAACATAGTGTTTAGAGTTTCAGCTAGCGTGATCTGATGAGAGAGAGGAGGTAAATGGGATACAAATAGGAAGGCAAAATTCAGCACATCCTTATTGACAGGTGATGTGACCCTATTCATGTGTGAGACCCTGAAGACTCCCCTGGACAGCTCTCAGAGTTGATAAACACTTGCAACAGAGCGGCGGTATACAAAAATGAATATGCAGTAATCTGTAGCCTTCCTATGTACCAATAACATGCACAGAAAGAAACCAGGAGAGCAAGTTGGGCACGGCGGCACATTCCTGGATCCCAGCACTCTGGAGGCGGGAGGATGGGAATTGGAGGCCAGCCTTAGCAGCATGGTAGATGCAAGGCTTGAGCTGTGTGAGGCCCTATCTCAAATACATTGAGAGATGGGGCACAGTTCATTCACAGCCATTGCAGAGGGCTTTTCCTCACAAGGAGACAGGTCCCATGCCGCTCCGTGTGTGGTTCCCTGCAAGGGCTTGCCTCCCTTTGGCAGAAAGGACAGAGTAGTGATTTTCCTCATTGCTGAAGCCCTTAAATTGCAGACTGGGAGAGTTGTTCCTGCTTTGGCCTTGGAGCAGCCCGCCATTGGCCTGCTGGTCCCAGCTCCCTTAGTGCAGTCTGAACTGAGCAGAGCCTGTAGTCTGGGAGTAGTGAGGATTTTTCCAGACATTCTTCTGTTGCACTGAAGGCATAGGTGTAGTTGTCGATCTTCTTTTTTATTCTTTTACTCTTTGGGGGGCTCCGCCACCCAGCTCCCAAATAAATACATGGAGGCTTATTCTTTTTTTAATGAATGTTCCGCCTTTAACCTGGCTTGTTTCTAGCCAGCTTTTCTTAAATTATCCCATCTATCTTTTGCTTCTGGGCTTTTATCTTTCTCTATTCTATCTTTCCTTCTTACTCTGTGGCTGGTTGTGTAGCTGGGTGGCTAGCCCCCGGGGCCCTCCTCCTTATCTTGTTCCTTGATCCTTCTCGATCCTAGATTTCTCCTCCTATTTATTCTCTCTGTTTGGCAGCCCCGCCTATCCTTCCTTTCTCCTGCCTTGCTATTGGCCATTCAGCTCTTTACTAGACCAATCATATGTTTTAGACAAGCAAAGTTACACAGCTTCACAGAGTTAAACAAATGCAACATAAAAGAATGCAGCACACCTTTGCATCATTAAGCAAATGTTCCACAGCATAAATAAATGTAACACATCTTTAACTAATATTCCACAACAGTTAGGAGACCCTCTTACCTCTTTTACCCTCTCATCTCATCAGCCTCTGGCTTCTTCTGGATACCCAGAAGTTCTCCTGACTGACCTCAGTGCAGCTAGAGAGCTTGCAACTATATTGTCAACATAGTGGCAGCATTGTCCTCTGCAGAGCAAGGGCATTGTTGAGGGCCTACATCTGTGGCCCACCAAGGGAAGTCTAGCACTGCCGAGTTGAGCTCAGTATCCCTAAGTGGCCTGTGCCAGTGGATAATAGGGTTCTTAACCTGGCAAGAGCTTGTCACTGTAAGCGAGCAGTTTCTTGTTTTCCTGGAGGTTCTTCTTTAGTTTGTTTTCTTTGCTTGGCAGTACAGAGAATTAAAAAATGCCCTTGAGCTATATCCACAACCCAGAAGCTCTTTCGGAGATACAGGATACATTCTTGATGTTTTAAAAAATAAGTTGAATTATAAAGCAAGATTTTGTAACTGCCTCTGGCCCTGGTTTGGCTCCCAGAATACCTGATAGATCTGTTGGACACTGGATTTTCCTCAACAGGCTTCACAGGCCTTCCCTGGACCTTGCCACCCAGCATGGGGCACCTGTACCTGTCCTTGGCCCCCATTCCAGGCAGGTCCCCTGTGACCTGAGGCCTTTTCTTTATATCTTTGAAATGGCCTCATAACCCTAATAATGTCAAAAGAGTGTTCCGTTTCCATGATGTCACTGTAATAAAATTCTCTGACCAAAGGCTAGTAGGAGAGAACAGGATTCGTTAGCTTACACTTCTAAGACAGGTCCCTCACCGAGGGAAGACAGGGTAGGAACTTGAAGCAGAAATCATGGAGAAATGCTACTTGCTAGTTCCTGCTAGCTTTCTTGTGCACCTTAGGACCATCTGCCTTAAATATGGTGCCACCCACAGGTCCTGCTACATCAGTTAGCAAGACAACCCCCTGTAAACATGCCCACAGACCGGTCTGATATAGGCAGCCCCTCTCAGGCGATTCTTAGGCTTCTCCAGGCCCGGGCTTTGCTGTGGAGAGGAGAGGTCATGTCTCCCTGCGCTTCAGCTTCCCTGGCTGAGAGATAAGAGTGAAGAAGCCGCGTTTGGGGCTGCGGCCTGACAGCACAGTCTATGGTGTCCCGTCCTCCTCTCTGCAGAGAATCTGACAGACGGTGGCCCTGTGCTGATGTGAGCTGAGGGCCCCCGTGCCCTCGAGGAACAGGAAACAGCATGGAAAAAAAAAAAAACGATTTGGAAGAGCAAGGACTTGGGGGGCTTCTCCTTTGTCCAGGCAGGACCTCCACACACTTAACAGGGTTACCGTCTCCAGCGACTACAGGGCTCCCCTCAACTGCCCATAGTGGAAACCGAGGCAGAAGTCAGGGCCTCCCTTTCTCCTGCTCACATGCAAATCAGGAGGGAAAGGGTGTGCAGGTCAGAACAGCTTGGTGACCGAACAGGAAGGGCCTGCGACAAGTAGTTTCATTACACCGAGCTGAGGAAAGCGGAAATGAGTGTGATTCCGTGTGTGTGTGTGTGTGTGTGTGTGTGTGTGTGTGTGTGTGTGTGCGCGTGTGCACATTTGTGTATGAATTGTAAATGTGCACATGTGTATACATGAGTACATGTAAGTGTGAGTGTGCATCCATACACACCTGAGGTTAATCTCCCCCCCCCCCATCCTCAGGACCGGGTAACTGGGTGTGGCTCATGTGGGTGTGGTCTTCCCTTCTCCCAGGAGCAGCTGGCTGACCTCAAGGAAGATCTGGACAGGGATGATTCTAAGCAGGAGGCCGAGGTGGTCATCTACGAGACCAACTGCCACTGGGCAGACTGCACCAAGGAGTATGACACGCAGGAGCAGCTGGTGCATGTAAGCCTCCAACCCCGGCTCCTGCCTAGGGATGCAGACCCCCAACCGCTATGGACCTAGAGCCTTCTGAGCAAGGCCTGTGCTGCAAAGAAGGGAATGGAGGGGGGAGCCGCATCCCTGCAAATGGGCAGTGTGCAGACCAGGTGCCTTGGGGCCTCCTCACCCCACCCCAAACACACACGTGAAACTCCAAGAAAATCCAAGTGTGAGAATTAGGAAACTAATGAAGAGGAGGCCTTCCCCAGCTTAGGGGGGGAGGGGAGGGGGTGTAGAAAAACCACATGCTCCGAGCTAGAGTCCGCAAGCATGCCCAGGAACTTCCTTCTAGAACTTGAACCTGTGAGTCCAACCTCTCTGGAGTAAATAAGAGGAGAGGAAATAGAGCTGTGTGTTGCAGGTTCAAGCTCTTAGGTTCAAGAGTGGACAGTGCTTGGGCGGGAACTAGGCTCAAGCAAAAGTACAGAGATGATGACGTAAAACGATGTGCGCCATGGCTGGGGAGACAGCTCAATGGCAGAATGCCAAGACGGCCTGGTTTTAGTGCCCTTTTAAAAGGGACTGAGGGCAATGGTGGCACACTCCTTTAATCCCAAAAAACTCAGGAGGCAGAGGCAGGCAGATCTCTTGAGTTCGAGGCCAGCCTAATCTACAGAGCTAGCTCTAGGACAACTAGGGCTACAAAGAGAAACCCTGTCTTGAAAAACCACTAAATAAATAAATAACAAATAAATAAATAAATATGGGCATGGTGTTAGATGCTTTCAATCAAGAGAGATGCCACCCCTGGGGATCTCAGGCTGGCTAACCTAGCCTGCCTGGTGAGTTCCAGGCCACTGAGAGTCTCTGCCTCTAAAGCCCAGGGGAAACACCCAGCAGACAGAGTCCCTCAGCCAGAGTGTGGACCCGGGAAGGGCTGCTCCAGAGCTCTCTCTGGGCCCTAGGGAATCGTGTCTATCTGGTCCTGATAAGAGCAGTCTGCTCTATGAAGAGCCTCCGCTTTTGCCTAGCACTGCCTCTCTGCTCTCTGGGAAGACGAATGGCAAGCCAGAGCCGCCGTCCATTATTAACAATTTGTCGCTAAGTAAACCAATAAGAAAAAAATGAAAGGCGTAGTCAGGAAGCATTTTTCTCATTTGAAAGGCTTTATGAATGGAAACGGGAGGCTGGTAGGAGAAGGTTTTTCTGGAAGTTCAAAGGGCTGCTATTTTACTTGCTCCCGAGGTGGTGTTATCTGTGCATGACAGTCCAGCAGGCTGCACAGGGCATCAGGCCAGTGGCTTTTCATCTTCTAGGACAAGGTGTTGCCGGAGCCTGCCACTCCGTTCCCAGACAGCTGTGTAGATTGTAAATGTCTTTGTCTGGAAGAGACAAGAGTTTGCATTTCCTCAGAGCACCTTGTAAAATACGAAGCAGGAGCAGTGTTGCTGTGTCCTTGGCTGACCTGCCTCGCTCACAGGGTCAGCCTGGCACCTTGCCTTGAGCCTAGGGCCGAGGGTCAAGAGCTAGCTGTAGCCTGCCTGTAAGGCAGAGCCAAGGAAGCTGCATTTCCCACAGGTAGGACCCTTCCTTTGTACTTCTCTGAAGCAATAGTATCAGTATGTCTGCCTCTCTGCCCACTCAGCCAGCACTTGGCGCTTGTCCCCCAGGAATATCACCATAATCGCCATATCCCCATGGGCCAGGCCTGGAGCCTTGCCTGGGATATCCGGACTGTTTTTAATCATCCATTAACTTAGGGAAGGAGCCAGCTAGGCGGCAGCATACAACTTTAATCCCAGTGCTCGTGAGACAGAGGCTGATCTCAGTGAGTTCAAGGCCAGCCTGATCTTCAGGGCAAATTCCAGGACAGCCAAGGCTTACACTGGTAAACCCCATATCGAAACCCTAAAAGGGAAGGAGCTCGAGAGATGGCTCAGTTGAACAGGTGCTTGTTACACAAACCTTAAGACCTGAGTTCTGATCCCCAGCACCCGCATAACAGGCCAGGTGTGGTGGTACTTTGTCTATTGTCCCAGCACTGGGGATAGGGAGGCACAAGGACCCCTGAAGTTCACTGGCCAGTAAACCCAGGTTCAGTGAGACACCTGTCTCAAAAAGTTCAGGGGAGAGTGATGGAGGACAGCCTCTGCTGGCCTTTGACCTCTGTGCACACATAAGGACACCACAGGTGTACAGATGCAAGAGAAGTATTTGGGGTGGGGGCTGGGTCCAGGGCCTCAGGCATGCTAGACAAGCATTCTACCATTGAGCGTCCCCAGCCACTAGCCCTTAATAGCTAACTGGGAAACGCAGATGGAGAAAGAAGTGCACTCGCTGGGAATTGTCCAAAGCTGTCACTTGCTCTTAGAGGTCATTTGGGCCGGCCAGTGACCTCCACACACTGCATAGAATGGGTGCGGGGTGGGAGATGACGCTCCATGCTACTGTGTCAACCCGAGGAGTTCATTTTAGAAACTGAGTTCATCTGAGATTAAACTGAGCTCCATGACTTCACTACTACAGAGAATTTCAGGATGTCAGTAAAAAGCACAGATGGGGTTTATTTGTTTGTTTTCAAACACGTTCGTTTAGTTAGTCTATGTTCGTGTACATGCCACGTGGTTGTGGAGGTCGGAGGACAACCTGAGAGAGTCAGTGTTCTCCCCGGGACCAAACCCGTGGTTTGTTAGGCTTGGAGGCAACTCGGAGGCCACCCGACGCATGGAACTCTCTCACCAGCCTCAGGTTGCAGTTAAGATATTTTAGCAGATGTTGAAGCATGGAGGGTTGATAGAGAGGTGCTAAAGGGAAGGATGAAGACACGCCCACACGTGGGCGTGGGCTTCTCTGGGAAGAGTCTTTCCACAATTAGGTGACTTTCTCAAAGCATCGCTTTCTTAGTTGCTTCTCTGTGGCTGCCATGAGATACCCAGACAAAAGCTACTGACGGAAAAAAGGCTTGTTTTCACTCAATCCAGGGTGCAATCCATCCCGCCAGGGAAGCCTAGGTGGTCACGGTGCACCCACCCTAAGGAAACAGGAAGGCTGCTGCTCTTGTACCATTTTTACAGTCAAGGAAGGGCCTAACCAGTGCGGGAGGGTGTCCTCCTGCCTCAGCACAGTCACATGATGTCCCACCGGCCTGCCCAGGGACCTGCCGCAGGTGATTCTAGATTCTGCCAGGTTGTCAATTAGCACTATCCTGCTGGCACTAACCCCAGTGAGCTGGTAGGTGGGTCCTGCTCCTGATGTCCACTGACAGACTCCCAGCTAACAGAGTGTCTCCCTGGTTCACAGGGCTTCACAGGAAGCTGATGTATTTCCACCGCAGACTCACTGCGAAGTTTCCAGAAAGTACCTATGTGGTAGACTATTATTTTTAAAATGTCTGACTTTCGTTTATGCTGTATTTGTGTAACTCTGTAAAGCTGTGATTCTTTGCCTATCTAAAACACCCGATAGTCTGATAAAGAGCTGAATGGCCAATAGCGAGACAGGAACAAGCATAGGCATGGTTGGCAGGCAGAGAGAATAAACAGAGGAAGGAGAGAATGGGGGGGGGGGGCAGCCAACCACTGAGACACCCAGCCAGCCATAGAGTAAAAGCAAGATATATATTTAAAAAAAAAAAGAAAGACAGAAAGAAAGAAAGAAAAGAAAAGAAAAGAAAAGAAAAGAAATGAAAAGAAAAAAGCCCAGAGGCAAAAGGTAGTCAGGTTAATAAAAAAAAGCTGGCTAAAAACAAGTCAGACTAAGGCAGGACATTCATAAGTAATAATAAGACTCTGTTTGTGACTTATTCAGGAGCTGGGTGGTGGTCCCCTCAAAAAGGCCAAAGAGTAAAAGGAATAAACTTTACACTACATCCCTAGGAAAAGAATGAGGCCATATTCAAGGCCATCTATGCTCAAGGCTAAATGCGATTTATCCCTATTTCAAAGTTTTCATTTGAAGGTATTATCTTCCTGTCAGCAGCCTTCCCAGCAAATGCTAATGATGCTGGAATCCCCAGTTATCAGGCAGTGAGAGGCTTCCTCCACACTCCCTAGTGGGAGCTTCCTCTCCCTGCCTCTGTCCCCTCTGTATTCTTCTGTGCCTTGGGGAAGTCAGGGGAACTGCTTACCCTGGAGTAGCTGTCACCAACTCCAGAGCCATAAACTGGACAGAGCCAGTTTATGCAAGGGAGGGACCGCCTTGGCTCACAGTTTCAGGGAGTTCAGTCTGTGGTCACTTGGCTCCAGGCCCTAGGTGGGGCAGAGCTGTTTACCCCATGGCAGATAGGAAGCAGATGGAAGGCACAGGGACAAGGTTCAGGGCAAACCTAGCCCTCCTCTAAGGAAATGCTCCCCCTTGGCCAGCTCCCTTCAGCAAGGTCCCTGCTCCTCCTCCCAGTGCTCTTACCGTCTGCATTGGTCAGGTCAGACCTCTGCAATCTAATCCTCTCTGGGAAATCCTGTGGGGGCTGGGTGGGAGGGCCTCTCAAGTCTCCAAGGTGATAGGTAAGAGAGGCAGTTAAAGGCTGAGGAGGTGGCTCGATGGCTTGCCACACAAAGCATGAGGGTATGAGTTGGGATTCTCACATAAAAGTGAGGTGCCGTAGCAGCAGTCTGTAATCCCAGGGTTGTTACGAGCAGTTTTCCCGCCAGCCTGGTCCCACAGCCGCGTCAGCCCCAAATAACACGCAGAGACGCTGTATTAGATATACAGCTGTGGGCCTGTTACTTAGTGTTTCTTACCAGGGATGCTATGAGGGCTGAGAGGTGGCCACGGGAGAATCCCTAGGAGCTGCTGGGCCAGGCCCTGGCATGTGCAGCAGCAAAGAGGGCACAAGGTGGAAGGCAGTGAGGACTGACACCGAGATTGTCATTGGCCCTCTCACTTATAAGAATGAGCACACACTCCTCTGGGCACTGGTGGCGCACACCTTTAATCCCAGCACTTAGGAGGCAGAGACCAGTTTGAGGCCAGCCTGGTCTACGGAGTGAGTTCCAGGGCAGGCTCCAAAGCTATGGAGAAACTGTGTCTCAAAAAACCAAAATAAATAAATAAACAAACAAACACAAATTCATGCTAACGCATGCATGTGTGCATGTGTTTGTGGGAAAATGCATAAACGCATGCAAACACACACACACACACACACACACACACACACACACAGTAGTAGCTACTATAGCGATCCTTATGTCCCAGGCAGAGGCTTTGGGATGGGATGTTGGTCCACTGAGGACATGGGGTGGTCTGGCTCTGCACACAGGATGGGCCCAGCTGAGGAGAGAGTGAACCGCACTCTCGGGGGCCCAGGGACATGACACTTGAACTCACCTTCCCGTGTCTCCCCGCACAGCACATCAACAACGAGCACATCCACGGGGAGAAGAAGGAGTTTGTGTGCCGCTGGCAGGCGTGCACGCGAGAGCAGAAGCCCTTCAAGGCCCAGTACATGCTGGTTGTCCACATGCGTAGGCACACGGGTGAGAAGCCACACAAGTGCACGGTGAGCCTCTTTCCACTGCGGAGCGACTCGGACAGTCTAGGCCCTTACCCTCCCCACCCCACCCCACTCCTCCTATGGCTTCTACTAGTGTTTCCTAATGGCAAATGACATCAAACTGGCTGTTTGCACATTTAAAGCACTTTCATTACGTTTGTTTATGTGTGTGGGGGCAGGGGGTGGGAGGCAAGGGGTGGGACCCGCATAGAAGTCAGAGAACAGCTTGCCAGAATTTGTTTTCCCCTCCTACCATGTGGGTCTCAGAGATGGTGTTCCAGGCATCAGGGTTGGCAGCAAGCACCTTTATCCATCAAGCGGTCTCCCGGGTTCCTGTTGGTACATCCTCTTTGGGAAACAGTACTTGTCACTTTGTTGCTTGGTTACAAGAATTCTTTGGAAACTTGAGGTTTTTGTTTGTTTGTTTAGATTGTTATCAAACACAACGTGTGTAAATATTTTTTTTCCCAATTCTGTATGCTGTCTTCATTTTCTGAATAATATCCTTTGAAACACAAAAGCTTAATTTAATGAAATCCCATCTTTAGCTGCCATGGCTTAGAAATGGCTACCTAACCCGTGATTTAACCTTTCTTCCTGCTTTAAGAGTTTGGCAGGGATGAGGGATAGAGTACATGCCTAGCACGCATGAGGCCCTGGCTAGCATGCCCAGTACCACATACACTGAGTGTGATGGTGCATGCTTTTAACCCCAACCATTGGAAGCAAGAAGGCCAGAAGGTCAAGGCCATCCTTAACTACAAGTGAGTTTGAGGCCAGTCTGGCTATACGAGCACCTGTCTCAAAATCAAAACAAAGCAGGAACTGGAGAGGTGGCTTGACATTTCGGAGCATTCACTGCCCTTCCAGGGGACCCAGGTTCAATTCCCAACACCAACGTGGTGGGTGGCTCACAGCCAGCAGTAACTCCAGGTCTATCACCCTCGTGTCTCTTCGGACGCCAGGCACACATGCGGTGTGCAGATACATGTACAGACAAAGCATACATACACATAAACTAAAAAAAAAATAATCTTTCAGAACAAAGCAGAAGATAGTTAATAAGAGCTGGACTGTGGCGAAATTAGGCTATCGCGGTTAAATAAGGATCAGGATAAACAAATAGGCCGAATAGATGTTTATTCAGGGAGAAATAACTTACAACCTAGACAGATGAACACCAGGAAATTCAACCCGATCCTCTCCTGTCCGAGTCACGCCAGAAAGAGAGCGCCTTTCCTGGCCCCCTCCGACCTCCTTCCTCAGGTCACCTCCGCCCATGGCTCCACCCCCTAATGGGCGTGGTCAGTGCCACAGACAGGACTCTCTCACTAAATTAGGCCACACACTGGTGACAGGAGAGAAAACAGTGAAGACTCAGACAGCTTATAAACGTGCCTTTTGTTTATATGAATGCCACATATACATGCGTACATGCGTGCTCACGTATTTCACAGTAAAACTCTTCCATCAAGGTCTTTGCTGTGTCTGAGTCAGCCCTTTTGGCGTTTTCTAGCGGGAATGGCTCTCTTTACTACCCTCATGCATTCTTGGGGTGCACGGTGGGAATCAGTGCCACAGGAGAGGGCAGGGGTGTGCAGGGGAGCCCGTGGGCCGCTGCCTGGGTTGCCTGTGAGTGCCCTTCCTGACCAAGCCTCCTCCTTCCAGTTCGAAGGCTGCTCCAAGGCCTACTCCCGCCTGGAGAACCTGAAGACACACCTGAGGTCCCACACGGGGGAGAAGCCGTATGTGTGTGAGCACGAGGGCTGCAGCAAGGCCTTCTCCAATGCCTCGGACCGTGCCAAACACCAGAACCGCACTCACTCCAATGAGGTAGGTGCTCACGCCTGGGACATTCCTGACATGTGTAAATGCACGGCCCCTGACGAGTGGACAGCCGTGTTCTAGCTCCATTTCCATCGCTGTGGTCAGCAACAAAAAGCAACTTAGGGAGAGAGGGACTCAGTTCAACTTACCGTTCCAGGTTGCAGTCTATTGTGGGGAAGTCAAGTCAGGAACATCAGTTAGTCACGTCACAGCCACAGACCAGAGCAAAGTGGATGCATGCATGCTTACTTATTTGATTTCTGTCATACAGTTCACAACCTCCTGCCTAGGGAATGGTCTGCCCACAGTGGGCTGGGTCTCCCTGTATCAATCAATGTAATTAAGGTAATACCCCCAGGCATGCCCATAGGCCAATCCAAAAAAGACAGTATCTCAATGAGACTCTCTTCCCGTCCGTCCATGATTCCAAATAGATAAAGCTAGCCAGCACAAACCGTATACCATGTCCCCCTCCCCCACCAGCCACTCTCCTTACACAAGTCCTGCATATGAGCATGGCCTCTCCCCCAAATGGCGGGTGCGCCATAAAGTTCCGTGGCACACTGACATTCTCTGCACCTCAGTTTCCTCGTGTCAGTAATAAGTATGGATGCCACCATGGTGTCTGCAGAAGCTGAACTCAAAACAGGGGTGGCCTTAAAACTGGACATAGTGGTGCATGTTTATAATCCTGGTGCTGGGGTTTGCTGGCCAGCCAGTCTAGCACCCTGTGATCCAGGACAATGAGAGACCCTTCTGAAAAAACCAAGGTGTATGGTGTCTGAGGAATGACACGTGGAGAGAGCTTCCCGGTTGCTGAGTTGTGAGTGTCCTGAGATACACCCTACTCCCTGCTTCTCTGGCCACTGGAAGGCTTCTGCTGCATGGGCTACAGATAAGGAAACTGGCAATCAGGGAGATGACATAACCTCTTAGGGTGGTGTCACAGGCCTAGGGGCAGGCCTCTCTGAAGCTGTGAAACCATCCAGGGCCACTGCTTTACCCACAAGTAGGTGACCACCTTCAGAACAGCTGCCCTGGTGCCATCACCCCTCTGCGCGTGCTCTGGAGACTAACACTGCCTGCCTAGGCTCCAGAACCTCTAGGCAGTCATAAGAGAGCCAAGGAAGAAGCCAACAGAAGCTCCTAGCTGCAGCTCACCTACACGATCCCTGTGATTCAGGCAGACCAGTGTGTGTGCGTGCGTGTGTGTGTGTGTGTGTAAATAATTTTATATTCATAAATGTATGCATCATATGTGTGCCAGAAAATGGGGTCAGATCCTGTAGAACTGAAGTTACAAATGATTGTGAGCTACCATATAGGAACAGGGAATTGAACCCAGGTCCTCTGCAAAGAGCAGTAAGCACTCTAAACCACTGAACCATCTCTCCAGCCCTGGGCAAAAGAATATTTCTAACAGCTTAGATGTAGCATGGGCTGCAAAGAGGCCTTTCTTCAGTGCTTGTTAGAAGTTAGAGGCATTCTCAAAGGCCTCTGGGCCCCTTGGGGTCTCTCCAGCCTGGAGCTCGCCTTGGGGAGGAGTAGGAATATATATGTATGTAGATGGTGTTGGGACATGTGTGTATTTGTATGCACATATATAGATGTGGGGGTAAGGTATGTTACATATTTGTATCTGTATGTATTAGAAAGCTGGCGTATACAGTGGGTATATATCTGCAATTATATATGCATATATGTGTGAGGATGATGCATATATATCTATATGTAAATGTAAGATGTTCATGTGTATAAGTACTTTATGCACATGTAGATATGGGAGCATGTATAGAGGTATTTACATGTGTGTTGTGTATGTGTGTAGTGGATACATATATGGAGTGTATTCTGGGCCAAGTGTGGGTTTGTCGGTATATCCATGTTTGTGTAGATACAAGTGAGTGTGGGTAGAGCTTTTTATCAGGACCTCGATCAACTCTGCTCTGCCATCCACTTCCCAAATAACCACTCAGAGACTTATTGTTAATTACAAATGCCTGGCCAATCGTTCAGGCTTGCTGCTATTACATTTTAAATTAACCTGCATTTCTTATCTATGCTTTGCCACGTGGTGGTTTCAACACGGCACCTTCATCTTGCATCTCTCTGCATCTGCTTGAAGCTCCTCTGGCTCTGCCCTTCTACCCAGCATTCTCTCTGACCCCGAAATCCTGCATAGCCATTGGCCAATCAGCTTTTTATTAAACAACGAGAACAATACATGTTTACAGTGTACAAAGATTGTTCCACAGAAAGTGGGGGTAGTTTATATGTGAGTATGTATGCTATATGTGTGTGTGATGATATGTGCAGGGTTAGGTATATGTATATGGTGATGTGTCTGTGAATTTGAATGTGACCAAACTTAGCACAGACAAGATGTTCAGATGCTCAAGTGCGCACCCCATGGCCAGGTGACTGGAAGTTTCCTTGGTCCTTTCTGCTTTTAACAGAGACATGAAGGCCTAATGAACTTGAAATCCCAGTCCCGGTTCTGGGGGAGCGTGTGGGTCATTGCCATACTCTGATCTGTGTCACCAGCTTCTTGTGGCAAGGGTTCTTTTGGGGGTGCCCTTCCTTTGTATGCAAGGGTAGCACACCAGGTAGAGCGGGGGGGGGGCAGACTGCTATAGACTGGACCTGGTGCCCTCCATCCACAGGCTGTGAAAATGTTAGTGCACTTACCCCTGTGCCAACCAGGGCTGCCAGGGAACATGTGATGGCTTCTGAACAGGTATTGCACCCATTCAGAATTTGTCCTTTGGGTCCCCATCTGATGGGAGATGTCATTCTGTAAATATATTTCTCATATTGGTTCATGAATAAAGCACTGTTGGCCAATAGGAAAGCAAGATAGGCGGGACTAGGAGACAAGGAGGATTCGAGGAAGTAGTAGGAGGAGTCATGTAAGTCCAAGAGAGCAGAAGTCCGGACCTTCTCTCCAGTAAGAGAAGACCACATGGAAATACTTAGATCGATAGAAATGGGTTAATATTTAAAACAGAGCTAACCAATAAGAAACGCTAGTAACAGGCCAACAGCTTTATATCTGATACGGATCTCTGTGTGTTATTTGGGGCTGGTGCGGCTCTGGAACCAGGCTGGCAGGAAAACATACTTGTAACCCTCATCCTTAACCCAGGCCCGGCTCTCTTCCTAGAAACCCTATATCTGCAAGATCCCAGGCTGCACCAAGAGGTACACAGACCCAAGCTCTCTCCGCAAGCATGTGAAGACTGTCCATGGGCCAGATGCCCATGTCACCAAGAAGCAACGCAATGATATGCACCTCCGTGCTCCACTGCTCAAGGAGAATGGGGACAATGAGGCCAGCGCCGAGCCAGGGGGCCGGGGGTCTGAGGAGAGTGTGGAGGCCAGTAGCACTAGCCACACTGTGGAGGACTGCCTGCATATCAAAGCCATCAAGACAGAGAGCTCCGGGGTAAGACAGAGCAGGGTGCCCAGCTGGCAGAGGGCAGTTCCCCAGCTCTGCACGAGGCCCAGGATCCTAGCCCCTCTGAGGGTTCTGATCAGGCACCCCCTTCTCAAAAGGGAGTGATGCCCTGCCTTGTCCCAGCTCGGCTTTCCTCCTTTGTTACCGTGCACCCCTCCTGAAACCTGTCTCGTTCCAGTCACCTTCTCTGACCCAGCTCCTGCTGGGCAACTGAGGCTGGGGCTGGGGCTGTCCTTTCTCCACACCGGTCCACACCGGGTGTGTTTGCCTGCTCATCCAGCACCTGGGGGCCACTGCGGGTTCGTACCCCTCCGGCCCTGTCTGTGTCGTCCCCATTCTGTAGCCTCTGCTCCTTTCGTTCTAACCACCTGTTCTTTGTCTCTACCTCTTTTTCCCGACTGTACCTCCCCTAAGGATAGACGCTACTGAGGTGAGCGGAGGACTGGGTGAGGGTGGGCTGCCCGGGGTGAGAGGGTGGACTGGGATGCTGGCCTTTGGAGAGGCAGGCGACATGAGGGATAGGAGAGACGGGCAGCAAGGGTGGCGCTGGCAGGTGTGAGGAGCAAGGGACCCATAGCAAAAGAGGGCAGGGGTGGGGTCTAGAGAGCAAGGGGGACAGGGGTGAGGTGTGGCGATCAAGGGAGGGTGGGGTGAGATCTGGGGAGCAAGGCTGGGCAGGGGTGAGGTGTGGAGATCAAGGGAGGGCGGGGTGAGATCTGGGGAGCAAGGCTGGGCAGGGGTGAGGGTGTAGAGATCAAGGGAGGGCAGGGGTGAGATCTGGGGAGCAAGGCTGGGCAGGGGTGAGATCTGGGGAGCAAGGCTGGGCAGGAGTGAGGTGTGGAGATCAAGGGAGGGCAGGGGTGAGATCTGGGGAGCAAGGCTGGGCAGGAGTGAGGTGTGGAGATCAAGGGAGGGCAGGGGGTGAGATCTGGGGAGCAAGGCTGGGCAGGGGTGAGGTGTAGAGATCAAGGGAGGGCGGGGTGAGATCTGGGGAGCAAGGCTGGGCAGGGGTGAGGTGTGGAGATCAAGGGAGGGCGGGGTGAGATCTGGGGAGCAAGGCTGGGCAGGAGTGAGGTGTGGAGATCAAGGGAGGGCAGGGGTGAGATCTGGGGAGCAAGGCTGGGCAGGGGTGAGGTGTAGAGATCAAGGGAGGGCGGGGTGAGATCTGGGGGAGCAAGGCTGGGCAGGAGTGAGGTGTGGAGATCAAGGGAGGGCGGGGTGAGATCTGGGGAGCAAGGCTGGGCAGGAGTGAGGTGTGGAGATCAAGGGAGGGCAGGGGTGAGATCTGGGGAGCAAGGCTGGGCAGGGGTGAGATCTGGGGAGCAAGGCTGGGCAGGGGTGAGATCTGGGGAGCAAGGGAGGGCAGGGGTGAGATCTGGGGAGCAAGGCTGGGCAGGGGTGAGATCTGGAGAGCAAGGCTGGGCAGGGGTGAGGTGTGGAGATCAAGGGAGGGCGGGGGTAAGATCTGGAGAGCAAGGCTGGGCAGGGGCAAGTCTAGGCTGGATGGAGGGAAGAATTGTGGCGGGCAATACTCAAGATCTGCAGTTCTGCTTGTTGGAAGCCTCTCCCCTAGACTGGGCATGCAGTATTAAGGCATCTTCCCAAAGAAGAGGCAGAGACAGGGCAAGCATTTGACCTGGCAATGAGCCTTAAGCTACTGCATCCAGGGTTTGCTTCCGAGGCCACACTGGACGCTGTAGAGTGCTGTGGCTGCCCCAGCCCAGCCCAGAGGGACAGCCTGGCATTCTAGTTTCATTTCTGTTGCTGTGGCAAACACGCTGGCAAAAAGCAAGGGAGGGCAAGTATGATGAAGGGATTTGAGTTACAATCCCAGATCCCAGATCTCTACCCATTGTTTTGTTTTGTTTTGTTTTTGTTTGGGGGGGGGGAGATCAAGGCAGGAACTCAAGCAGCTAAGCCCCTCACATCCAGTCAATGACAAACTGAATACACAGTCCCCTGCTTCACTCAGCTGCCTGTCTTGGACAGTTCAGGACCCAACCCTTGAAATGGTGCCACCCACATTCAGCACAGGTCTTCCTACATTCAGTTAACAATTAAGACAGTCCCCCACAGACATGCACACAGACCAACCCCATCTAGATGACTCCCTGTTAGGAGCCTTCTTTCCAGATGGGTCTAGACTGTGTCAAGTTGATGTATAAAACTAACAGTTTGGAGTAGCCATGCAGGCAGTGGCTATACCCCATTCTACCCCCCCCCAAGCACCTACCCCTGGCCTGTCAAGAGCATCCTGTTCAGTACAAGTCGCCAGACTTCTGTTATCCCTGGCTGCATTGTGAGCACAGCGGCAGTACTGTGTTGAGTATCTTCTCTCCGGGTGAACTTAGTCACCTTCTTCCTGCAATAGGACAAATCCTTGCAATAGGACAAATCCTTGCACACGTTGCTAGGTGGGAGAAGGTTTGGGTCAATCTCGTAGTTGGGAAAGAAGGCCAAGGATAGACAAGGGTTGGGTTGTCAAGTAGTTCCCTGCTTCCTCGTGTCCCCGCCCAAGCAAGCACAGCATGGTATGGATGTGGGATGGTCACAGGACCAGGTGACTCCTCACACCCTGAGTCTGTGTCTTCCATCTTATCCCTACAGCTGTGTCAGTCCAGTCCCGGGGCCCAGTCATCCTGCAGCAGCGAGCCCTCTCCCCTGGGCAGTGCCCCCAACAATGACAGTGGCGTGGAGATGCCAGGGACAGGGCCTGGGAGTCTGGGAGACCTGACAGCACTGGATGACACATCTCCAGGAGCTGACACCTCAGCCTTGGCCGCCCCCTCCACTGGCGGCCTGCAGCTGCGCAAACACATGACCACCATGCATCGCTTTGAGCAGTTGAAGAGAGAGAAACTCAAGTCACTCAAGGATTCCTGCTCGTGGGCTGGCCCAGCTCCACACACCCGCAACACCAAGCTGCCTCCCCTCCCAGCAAACGGTGAGTGAGGCCCAGGGCTTAACAGCCCAGGTGGGAGAGAGAGCCTGGGGCTGTTTCCTCCAGGCATCTTGCAGTCTGACTGGCGGCCCACCATGGGACAGAAGCCCACAAAAATAGCAAAAGACAAACCTTTCATTCAGAATTGAAGCATGAGTATAGGCCATTTTACACAGCTCAAGAGTTCCTGGTTATTGCCCAGGACTTCCTCTAAGGCAGTCTAGGAAAAGGCAGAGCTGGTTGCTAGGGGCAAGGTGTGGATGGCCTTTTGGGTTTGATTAGCAGCCTTAGGTTATGTAAATCTTAGTTATTGGAAATGTCTGATTTGAACCATATGCATACCTAATCATGTATAACATGATAAATGGCGGATTTCCCCTAATAGTTCACCCAAAGGATATAGTTTACCTTACCGTGCAGGGTTCCCCAGACAAGCTCAGGCTGGGTCAGCCTGGTTCCTTGGTTGTGGGTTGTTTTCAGAATATGTTTGGCCACTAAAGGTTCCTAAGGGTTGGTAGGGAACCAGAGGTCAAAGTGACCAGATTTTTTGTTTGGAGAGGGACATGAGTGTAGCTCAGTACAGGTGCAAGCTCCAAGTGTGTAAGTGGTCAGGTGCAAGCTCCAAGTGTGTAAGTGGTCAGGTGCAAGCTCCAAGTGTGTAAGTGGTCAGGTGCAAGCTCCAAGTGTGTAAGTGGTCAGGTGCAAGCTCCAAGTGTGTAAGTGGTCAGGTGCAAGCTCCAAGTGTGTAAGTGGTAAAGGAGTGTGTACAGTGTCAACCAAGTGAAGCCCGATGGCTGAGCTTTCCCTGTGCATGCCAGCTTCAACCCAACCTTGTGTTACATGGAAAGGAAATAGGCTCAGAGAGGTACAGGGGCCCCAGCCAAACCCAGGCAGCGGTAAAACTCAGCACAGGTCCATGAGCTCCAACGTTTGTGCCGTTCCCATGCCACTGAAACCCTCTGAACACAGACAGCCCCGGCTGTAGCTCCTTCCTTGCCTGGCCTTTCAGTGTTTCGGGTGTCGTGGCAAAGGCTCAGGGAGGGAGGGCGGTATGATTGGCATCCCAAAGGAGCCACCGTCAGGTTCACATGCGGAGTAAGCCACAAAGCACCAAAGACAGAGCTAGGGTACTGATGTACTGAGCAGGCACCTTCCACGGGCAAAGAGCAGGGGGCCTTCATGGAGGAGGTGGCCTGTGTGCAGCAGGCTCTTCATCTCCAAGAGCATCTCTAGAGTGCCACTGGGTGCGCAGACCCCAGGCTGCCTCCCCGCACGGTGGTGCATGTTGGCACACCGCCATCTGCCACTCCCACTGTTGGAAGGAACGCTGACAGAAGACCATGAACTCTGCAGGTCTGGATCTCCTGGATCACCATCTCATCCCTGGTCATAGGGTTCACGATCACTTGTCTGCCCATCTTAGCCCCGAAGGGGGGCTCACTGACATTGGACTTGCTCTAAGATCAACATAGGTAGACCCCACCTCAAAATATAAATGAATAAAAAAGCAAGGGCTGGAGATTCGGCTCAGTTGGCAGGGTGATGCCTACTGATGCACACAGCCCTGAGTTCAGTCCTGAGTACCAAATCCATGTCACATGGCGGTGCACACCTATAATCCCAGGGCCCAGGAGGCAGAGGCAGCAGAATCAGAAGCTCAAGATCATCTTTGGTTACAGGCCAATCTGGGCCACCTTTGTCTCCAAGGGGGGGAAAATCCCTCCTTGTTGGGACATAGGCAGCTGGGCCCTCCTAGCCCTGCCGTCAGTAACCTCATCTTGTGTGCAGGTGCATTTTATCTACAGCTAGAGAAACGGGGGAGGTTGCTTTGTGTAGCCCTGCTGTCCTATAACCCATTCTTTAGACTGAGCTGTCTTGGCACTCAGAGATCTGCCTGCCTCTGCCTCCCAAGTGCTGGGATTAAGGACAGCGTGGTGTCCTCCTTCCCTTCTTATATCCAGAACGCTTCTGCTATTGAGCGCCTGCTGTGTACCGTGCTAGGGCTCCAGGCTCAGTCTGGTCAAGGGGATGAGTAGAGGAACCAGTTATGGGGGACAGGGTATAGGTGGTTTTTTGTTTTGTTGTTGTTGGGTTTTTGGGGGGGTTGGGGTGGGATTTGGTTTTTTGTTGTTGTTTGGTTGGTTGGGGTTTATTTTGGTTTGGTTTGGCTTTGGGAAACATCGGCAGGGCCCTATCGAAGCACAATCCTTAGCCTCCTGTGACCCCTCTCTTCCTCCCCAGGTTCTGTCCTGGAAAGCTTCAACGGCACTGGGGGCGGTGGGCCAGCGGGACTGCTGCCCAACCAGCGGCTGCCGGAGCTGACCGGAGTGACGATGCTGAGCCAGCTGCAGGAACGAAGGGACAGCTCCACCAGCACCGTGAGCTCGGCCTACACTGTGAGCCGCCGCTCCTCTGGCATCTCCCCGTACTTCTCCAGCCGTCGTTCCAGTGAGGCCTCGCCTCTTGGAGCCGGCCGCCCGCACAATGCCAGCTCAGCAGACTCCTATGACCCTATCTCCACGGATGCCTCCCGGCGCTCCAGTGAGGCCAGCCAGTGCAGCGGTGGGGGCCCAGGCTTGCTCAACCTCACGCCTGCGCAGCAGTACAGCCTGCGAGCCAAGTACGCAGCAGCCACAGGCGGACCGCCACCCACACCGCTGCCGGGCCTCGAGCGTGTAAGCCTTCGCACCCGCCTGGCATTACTGGATGCTCCCGAGCGTGCGCTGCCGGGCGCTTGCCCACACCCACTGGGGCCACGACGTGGCAGTGACGGGCCTGCCTACAGCCACGGCCATGGTCATGGCCATGGCTATGTGGGCGCGGCTCCTGCCTTCCCGCACGAGGGCCCAGGCAGCAGCATGCGTAGGGCCAGCGACCCTGTGCGGCGACCCGACCCCCTCATTTTGCCTCGAGTACAGCGTTTCCACAGTACCCATAACATGAATCCAGGTCCACTGCCACCCTGCGCTGAGCGGCGAGCCCCGCATCTACAGAGCCATCCCAGCGTGGATAGCAGCCTGACCCGCAACACCTACTCCCCGAGACCCCCAAGCATCAGTGAGAATGTGATGTTGGAGGCCATTGCTGCTGGAGTAGATGGCGCAGGGCTTGAATCCGACCTGGGGCTGGTGGAGGATGAGCTGGTCCTGCCCGATGATGTGGTACAGTACATCAAGGCCCACACCAGTGGTACCTTGGATGACAACATGCGACAGGGATACCCTACAGAGAGTGTAGGCTTCCCTGAGAACTCTAAACTGCCCAGTCCTGGGCTGCAAGGCCACCGGAGGCTAGCAGCTGCCGACTCCAATGTGGGCCCTTCTGCTCCTGGACTGGGGGGCTGCCAGCTGAGCTACAGCCCCTCCTCCAACCTCAATAAGAGCAACATGCCTGTGCAGTGGAATGAGGTGAGTTCCGGCACCATGGATGCCCTGCCCAATCAGGGGAAGTCACCTCCTTTTCCCCACAGCAACCTGGCTGTGGTTCAGCAGAAGCCAGCCTTTAGCCAGTACTCGGGATATGGTCCCCAAGCCCTGCAGGCCAGCTCCGGAGGCCTAGACAGCACCCAGCCACACCTACAGCTCCGTGGAGCCCCCGCTGCACCCAGAGGGAGCTATGCACAACAGCCTCGACAGCCGGCCACGGGTGGCCAGTGCCTGAATGTGACTGCTGCCATGAGTCCTCAGGCCAGCTACAGCCAAGCCCACCCCCAGCTGAGCCCAAGCATTGTCGGTGGACAGCTGAACCAGTTCTCTCCCTCCTGCAGCAATGCGGCAGCCAAGCCCAGCCACCTGGGACTCCCTCCACAAATGGAGGTTGTCCCCAATGCCACCATGATGAGTGGCCATCAACGGGAACTTGGGATTGCCAGTTCATCTCTGCCTGGGGTGTCCCAACCTCATGCAGTCCTGAGCTGTCCCCAGCAGGAAGGCTACCAACAGGGTTCCAGTCTTCTATCATCCCATCAGCCTAGCTTCATGGAGTCCCAGCAGGGCACCGGCTTTGGTCCCATGCAGCCTCGGCCACCCCTTGAGCCCAGCACTGCTAGCCGGCCCCGAGGAGTACGTGCTGGGCATCAGCAGTTGTATGCCAGGACCGCTGGCCAAGCCATGGTCACATCAGCCAACCAAGAGACAGCAGAAGCTATGAGCAAGGGAACAGCAGGGACCATGGTATCCCTGGCCCCTCAACCATCTCAGGACGCAGGGCGGTCACAGGACCAGAACACACTCTACTACTATGGCCAGATCCACATGTATGAACAGAATGGAGGCTGCCCAGCCATGCAGCCCCAGCCACCACAAGCACAGATGTGCTCAGACAATATCCAGCCCCAGCCTCTGCCTTCACCAGGGGTCAACCAGGTATCCAGCACTGTGGACTCCCAGCTTCTGGAGGCCCCCCAGATTGACTTTGATGCCATCATGGATGACAGTGATCACTCAAGTTTGTTCTCCGGTGCACTGAGCCCCACCCTTCTCCACAATCTCTCCCAGAATTCCTCACGCCTCACCACACCCCGGAGTTCCCTGACACTGCCCTCCATCCCTGCAGGCATCAGCAACATGGCTGTCGGGGACATGAGTTCCATGCTCACCAGCCTGGCTGAAGAGAACAAGTTTTTAAATATGATGACCTAAAGGCCCGCTGCTCCTGGTGCAGCGCCGACCTGGGAAAATTTAGCTTCTTGAAATTAAGAGTCTAATCTCTTCTCTTTGTCGGGGGGAAAAAAAAAGTGTTAATTAGGCCTGAGAGGGCTTGAGCAATGGCTGGTTCAGACTCGCAAATATTTTAAGGAAAGAGTTAGGGGCAGCCTCTTTGCTGTTTGACCTATTTTTCGGAACAGTCAAAAAGTCTCGTTCAGAAAGAAACTCGTTTACACAGTGTTTGCCAGCCTTTGGTGTTTATGGGATTATTCGGTTCTGGCTTCTTTGCCTGTCGTTCCGCTAATGAGAGAGTACATTGGCCAAGGCTTTCTAAGAACATACCCCAAGAGGAGAGGGGAACCGCGCTCTGGGTTTGAAAGTGAGACCATGCTGGATGCTCTGCTCCGAGAAGGGTTTGCCATTCTGACACCTGCAAGGAGAAGGGATTGCTGCCTCCCCGGCTTCTTCCATGAAGCTTGCCAAGGTTGCTTGCCACAAAGGAGAAAGGTACATCCCCCTGGGATGTTAAGGAGTTTCCTCAGTTACCGCTAGCATCTCCATTCCCTTAGGCTCAATGGGACCCGAAGATTTCCTGAGTGAAGAAGGATTAATAAAACACGTTATCACCAGGAAATAAACTGGGGCAAGCCCCGAGGCTCCCCGGGAACCTCTCCTGGCCTGTTTACAATGTTCTGAAGAATACAGTGGAGCCCCTCCTGGGAAGACCGTGTGTGTCTAAATTCCTCGGGTGGCAGTGGGCTAGGGATGGACCAAGGTAAAAGGCCTTCCCCGGGAAGAGCAAGTCGCATGTTTACCCAGCCCTTTTTTCCCTGTGCACTACCACCCTCCATGCTGTGCTGGGTGGCCAGCTGTCTGCCCCTAGCCACCACATTCAGTCTCAGTACCTTCCCATCCCTGACCTCTGCCCTCCTCTCCAGGTTATTTGGCATGGACTGATGACATGCATGGTGTTTGTGGCCGGGTGGGAGGGTGAGGGATTGATTCTTGGACTTTGAGGAACTATTAACTGAATCTTCTTGTTCAGTGTGGCCTGGCCCCAAATAAGAAAGGGCGTGTGGAAACTGACTCCAAAAAGAATCGGCCCAGAACACACCCTAGGGTGAACCCACGCCTCTTTCCCAGCACACACATGCGCACACCCTGTCCGAAACTTCTCCCCTTGAATTCACAGAAACTTTGCCAAACCAAACCTCACCACTCAGAGCTTCCTTCTGGCCATGGCTCTGGCTTCAGCAGAGCCTGGACCTCTGAGTCCTAGGACAGCAGTCTTCTCTGTTTACAGTCCAGAGACAAGACCAACGCCCGTGGCTCTGTGGCTCCAATGGTGTGGTCTCTCTGCCTGACATAGACCCTAACTTCCCAGTCTCCATCTGGATCTATTTTGTGTAGATATTGCCATCCCCGAATACGCTGTGGGTGAATCGTCCAGCCAAATTTATATTGCCAAACATTTTTAGCTTTTTCTACTTGCTATAAATTGAGATGACACGCTCAACTTGTAAATAAGTCTTTTTGTACATTAAAAATAATTTTTTCATAATTTATCTTGTCGATCTGCTTTTCCCTTGACAGTAGTTAATGAGAATCTAGGCAGTAAATTTGGTGCATTTGAACAAAAATTAGGCTGTATTTTTTTCACAACAGTGTCAAAACTGACTAGCCCACCTTAACCCAGACAAGCTCAGTTCAGAATCATTCACTGGCTGTTTGCTTCTTCTCACTTTGGGGTGGGGGCAGACGGGGTTTGACAGATTTCTGGGACTCAGTTACTAGGGGATTTCTCTACACAGCTGAGTCAGTTAGCTGAGGTCCCATACACCAGGTCTCGTGTCCCAGGCACAGTCTGGTTCCTGGGCGATACACATTTGAATTGGGAGGTGTGTTGGTTATTTCCGTGTGCTATGATCAAATACCAGACAAAAGCAATTTCAGGGGAGAGGGTCTCGGAGTTCAAGGGTACAGTCAGGGAGTGTATGACAGAGGGGCATGAAGTGTCTAGTCACATGCGTCCACAGTCAGGAAGCAGAGAAAGACGGCCTTGTCCAGCCCAGAACCCCAGCCGATAAAATGGTACTGCCCACAGTTAAGATACCTCAAAAATTTTCCCAACCTGGATAATCCTTCACTGGAGTGCCCGGGGCCTTGTTTCCTGGTGATTCCAGATCCTGTCTGGTTGATGTTGAGATTATCCATCCCGGGGAGGGTGGGAAGAGGGACAGACCCCCAACGCTGGCAAAAGAGAGTCAGGGGAGGCAAATGAAGGCCAGGATGCATAGCTACCAGCCTTGGGTGAAAGGCCAGTAGAGATGAGCCATAACTAGGACCCTGAGTCTAGGAATGCCTCCTGACAGGTAGTCAGGGAGAACCTTGATTCAGCAAATTGATAGTCTACCCTGGGCAATGGTTGGGGATCATTAACTTCAAAAGGCTGGGAATATAGCTTGGTAGGTTCAAACCTCCAGAACCCACATAAAAACCATACCTAAGGGGAGATAGGATGCCAAAACAGGAGAATCCCCAGAAATTCATGGCCCAGCTAGCCTGGCATAGCACATGGGAAAGCAATTCAGGGACCCTGCCTCAAGGTAGAGGGTGAGGGCCAGCACTCACGGTTGTCCTCTGACCTCTCCACCCACACTATGGCAATGCATGCCTGTAACGAGTACTGTTTTCCGCCTGCCCTGCCTTGTCCCGCCACCGCGCCAGCCCCAATTAACACACCGAGACTCTGTATTAGATATAATGCTGTTGGCTGTTACTAGTTTCTTATCGGCTAGCTCTGTCTTAATTATCAACCCATTTCTGCTGATCTATGTATTTCTCTTACCTGGGAGCCGGCCGGCATTCTGCTCTCTCCCGACTCTCCATCTTGACTCCCCCTTCCTCCTTCCTCTTTCCTCCTTGTCTCCTAGTCCCGCCTATCTTCCTTTCCTATTGGCCAACAGTGCTTTATTCATTAACCAGTACGAGAAACATACATAATGACATCTCCCATCACATGCCTACATTTGGGTGGAGTGGGGGTGGAGTGGGGGGGGGAATGCAAGTGCACACCCAGATTAAAAATGAGGTTTTTAAACAAGATCGCTCAGTGATCAAAAGCATTTGATGCTCTTGTAGAAGACCCTCGTTCGGTTCCCAGCGCCATGTCAGGAGGCTCACACCACTGCAATTCTGTTTTCTGGGTACCCTCATACATGTGCACACTCACACACAGACACAGAGATACATACAAAAAAAATACAAAATAAAAATAGAGGGCTGGGGAAATAGATGGGTGGTTAAGGACACCTGTTGCTCCTGCAGAAGACCCAAGTTGATTCCCAACACCTGCATGGCGGCTTCTAACCATCCCTAACTCCAGTTCCAAGATAACAATGCACTCTTAAGAGTGCACCAGACATGCACATAGTATACTTGTATACCTACAGGCAAAACACCCATACGCCTAAAATAAATACTTTAAAAATCTTTTTTAATGAAACAAAATTTGAAGCCTTGAGCGGGGAGTGGGGGGTGGGGAGCACACTCGCACACGTAGAGGCCAGAGAACCACCTAAGCTCTCATTTCTCAGGCACTGTACACGTCTCTCACCGGCTCTCCTGGAGTTTGCCAAACAGGCTAGGCTGGCTGGCCACCGAGCCCCCAGGATCCACCTATCTCCTCCACGGTGCTGGCATTGTTAGCACAGCGTTTTATTTTTTAACTTTTGTTTGTTTGTTTTGTTTTCAAGGCAGAGTGTCTCTGGTAGCCTGGTTGTCCCGGAACAACTCGCTCTGTTAACCATGCTGACCTCCCTCCCTCCCTCTTGTCTCCTGAGTGCTGGGATTAAAGGCACACGACACCATGCCTGCCTCTTTTTTTTTTCAGTGTGGGTCCTGTGGCAGGAACTCAGATCCTAATATTCACAAGGCAAGTGCATTACTGACAGCCATCTCCCCATCCCCAAGACTGAGCTTCTCCATCTTCCAATGGCCTCGGAGCCCTTTTAGTCCACACCAGCAGTCACTGACCTTGGTTGTGTCACATGGGTCTCTCATACACTACATTACCCTATCTCAAAAGCTATACCATGTTTCCTTTGGCTTCTCTCTCTCTCTCCAAATATATATATATATGATGACTGGTGTTCCCATACCAGCCTGATAAAATTTCCCCTGAAGGTCTGCAGGCACCCAATATTACTAAAATGTCTTAAAAAGAAAACAAAACAGGGCCTCGTGTAGCCTAGGCCGGCCTCAAATTCACTATCTAGGTGAGGACAGCCTTAAATTTCTGATCATTCTACCATCACCTCCTGAGTCCTGGGCTTACAGACATGTTCCATCCAGCTCAGTTTGGATGATGATGGGGATCAAACCCAGCGTTTGGTGTATACTAAGCAAGAGCTCTGCCCACGGAGCTTATAGGAAAATTTTCACCGAGCATCTCTCCACACAGAGCGCAGGGCACTGTTTTTATTGCCCTTTTCCAACTACTGTGGATTTCCTTATTTTTCGTTTCCACGTGTACGCTTTGTATGTGAGAATCGCCACCTCTCATCCCTGTTCATTCTCAATATGTCACTACTGCCTAGTGGGTGCTGTCAAATAAAGGCAGAGACCAGTAGGAAGCTCCGGCCGGGCTCACAAGTGGCAGGGGTGGGCTTCCCTGGGTGGCCATGGAAGACAGTTCATCTCTGCTCCTGGACTTCCCTCCTGGGGACATCTAATGACAAAGCCGTTATAACATGACTGGGCTAGGAACAGGAAGCAAATCACAGAGCTGAGCCTGACAGCAATTGCCTGGGAAACATACACCTGCACAATGAGGGTAGAAGTACCGCAATGACCCACCTTCCACACTCTCCCACCCAGCCTTTCTCGTGGTAAGACTCACTCAAGCCTTGGGACTTCTGTCGCCCCTAAGACAAATGCCCTGACAAAAGCATCTAAAGAAAGGAAGGGTGTTATCCAGGTGGAGGTGGTGCACGCCT